CCAAGTCGGACCCAACACAAGCCAAACACTTCTGATAGAGACTACATGTATGTTGAGATTGTAGAGGGAAAAGGGCTTCACTTGAGCCCCTTGTTTTCTTTATATACCGCGATCTGACACACTATAAAGTGGTATTTAGGTAGATATAACAATGGTCTATAGATGTAAACACATCTGAAGATACATCTGTGCGGTTTAATTTGATTTTGACAGCCCGGGCCAAGTCGGAACGAACACTTCTGGCATAGATTTTCTTAAGAAAATACAGTAAAATGCTTCACTTTGAGCCCCTTGTTTTCTATAAATACTGCGATCTGTGACATTATAAAGTGGTGTATAGGTAAATATAATACTAATCTATAGATGTAAACACATTGGAAGATACATCTATGCGTTTAAAGTTGATTTTGACCGCCCGGGCCAAGTCGGACCCAACACAAGCCAAACACTTCTGATAGAGACTATGTTGTGAATGTAGAGGGAAAGGGCTTCACTTTGAGCCCCTTGTTTTCTTTAAAAACCGCGATCTGAGACACTATAATGTGAATGTATTTATAATATGTATGTATTTTGATATACGTCAGAATGCTTAAACTTTCTATTGGTGCTATGACAATTTGCGTCAATAATGCAAATTTCATGTTGATTTTGCATCTGTTGGGGTATATTTGGTTTCTACACTTTCTTGTCGATTATATTTGAAGTATTGTTGAAGCGAATTTGTACTAATTTAAATGTTAAGTATATTACCACTTTCAATATTTGATCACTATTGTGACATACATATGTAACTCGAAACAGAGGAATTTGAATAATGAGGCCGTTGAAAGTGCCCTACGAAAACAGCAAGAAGCTAGTTGATAACCAATCGTGGTCAATTGGTACCATGTTTTATTTCAGATTCTTTCTTGATTAACACTGGCTAATTAAAAATGACTCTCGTCAACCCCGATTGCTAGAAATGTGCCAACCTCTGCTACCTTACATTAAACTTCCTTGTTTTAATTCTGCCAATCCGAGAAGAAATTTGACCTATATGATTAAAGATCAGCAAGGAGGGGCGCACAATTGGTGCCCATGGGTCTGTCTACTTCTTGCCTAAACGTCTTATCCTCCAATATCACAGAGGTGTTATCTATAAGGAAATCCAGCATTTTTCAAAGTGTTTTCTTAGTGAATTTCTGATGAAATTTGATTTCATTTGTGACAAATTGTCCTGAACCTTGACGACAGAGATGTAAATTTTCCTAAATGGTCCTGTGGCATAGTCGTGTACAAAGTTGAAAAATCAAATGTCTTGACTTAACTTAACCTTGGTTATTTTCTGAGATTACAAAAACTCGGGCAAATCCTTAGAGCTTTTGAGAATCCACATGGAATTAATTGTCTCAAATACTTTCTGTGAATATATAGATTATCACGCGAGTGTGTTTGGGGATGGTAAATCTCATGTATTGGGAATAAACATTGTTTTTAGCGATTCTTGGCACTCGGATTCGTCTGTGATATCGCTGTTGGTGGGACTTCGTACCCTCCTTGCTCGTGTTGTCTTAGATAGAGTGGACATGCCCTATCTTGTGAGAGCAGTATATTGAGCATAGGCCAGGGCGTTCGGATGGATTAACGCTGTGTATCATGTAAGTACATATAAAAAGAAACTGGTAAACAGGACATATTCTTGTTGCTGAGAATGTTAGTAATGCCTCATTTGACTTACAACGCAAAAAATGTGAATTCTGAACACCAACAAATAAGATGAAGCTCTCCAAGGTATCAGAAAAAACAAAACCAGATTTGTGCATCAACCTTCGTATATAACGCAGCGTATAACTCAGGGCTCATGCAAATGTTTCTGCCCTAATGCGATGTTGAGGCACAATGTCGTCCTGTGACTACGCCCGTATGATTTACGAATGTGTGATTGGAGTAGATAATATACATGTGTAGCGTCATAGTTGCCCGAGTGTCTAAATCGAGTGTAGGGGGTATAAACATAAGTGGGAGTAAGTAAGTTGATAACTGTATCTATCAACAATGCACGGATCAACCACAATAGTGCTTATAATAGTTGTGAAAAAGAAAGCAAAGACGACCTATTTTCACATTGATACTTTTGAAGGACAGATATAAATTTCACAAACAATATACATTTTTTCATAGACCTTCAGACCGCCTCCGTGGTCTAATTGTAGAGCTTCCGCCCGGAGAACGAAAGATCGGGGGTTTGATCCCCGGCAGCGTCATACCAAAAGACCTTTAAATGATAGTACTTGTTGTTACCATGCCTAGCGCTCGACGTTAAGGGCTAAAATTAGGACTGGTCTTCTCGGAGTCAGTATACTGTGTCTGATATTCATGTTAAACTGCGGCATGGTATCTCAATGGGGTAGCACTATAGAAAATTGCATTAGTCCGGAATAGTATAAGCAGCCACACACACACACACGCACACTACCATTTACGTCGCTATACAAGTGCAATACTATTGAACACGACGTCAAACCCTTTTCGACTCACCTCACCTCACCTCACCTCACCTCATCTCACCTCACCTCACCTCACCTCACATACCTTTGGACAGGGGGAAGTTTTTGTTCCGGTGTTGATTCGTTGATGTTTATGTAGATGTTACATGATATGGAGTACATTTGTATATTGCATTTATCACCGACTATAATGGGGTAGCACTATAGAAAATTGCATTAGTCCGGAATAGTATAAGCAGCCACACACACACACACGCACACTACCATTTACGTCGCTATACAAGTGCAATACTATTGAACACGACGTCAAACCCTTTTCGACTCACCTCACCTCACCTCACCTCACCTCACCTCATCTCACCTCACCTCACCTCACCTCACATACCTTTGGACAGGGGGAAGTTTTTGTTCCGGTGTTGATTCGTTGATGTTTATGTGGATGTTACATGATATGGAGTACATTTGTATATTGCATTTATCACCGACTATAACTGACCACAACGTGCACCCATATATGCAATACAAGCGTCATGGCAAGAAGATGCGAATAGCTCCAACTAGGGTCATGTCAGATTCATTAATTTTTTTACAAGTTTGTATTATTTCAATAAAGTGACAAAACCCTTTCCATGTCCAATAGAAATCTCTGCATAAAGCAGCGTCGACTGTACGATTCCGAGTATATCATGAGCATGTGTTTATGAATCACTATCAAATAGTTATAATACCAGGTGTTCGCGAAAACGTGAGCGTATTAAGAAACGCTGACTTTGTTAATTGGTTTATGAATCCAAGATAATGCAACTAAATCTCTATATAAGGCTACACTAAATCCCATCCAACCCTATCTCACTCAATCATAGAGTGGGCTGTTGACTGTGGATATCTTGATTTGCATATTTCTGTAAGCATTTTGTACATGAACATGACAATATATAATACACTGCCGGACAAAAGAACGTTTGCACTTGAAAATACCTGCTTCATTTATTACCGTGTAGCGTGAGCTTGCCATCCCTGTGAGCCTTGTGACGCCATGTGCACGTCATCTATTGTTAGATACTCATTGATATGATTCATGTAATATCGCCTACAATACCAATATCAAATACATTCAATAACCATATCTTGTTTTTCAACCACCATCAAACATGGGTGTATACTTTCCTTTGCCCGGAAGTTTATTATTTTTTATTTTTGTTAAATTTTCTAATTTTTTTTAATTCTGAACATGACACCTGCACGTCAAAAGCTGCTTTGATCTGCTGATTGGTCAATTTTGAGAAGATATTTTATGTTTCATTTAAAGACGATCTTATTTCAACAAAGAGGTACAAACCAACGACAACGGAAATTATGCATGGATCAGCCGTTTTATTGTACTACAGTACTAGTCTCAACACCCTACCTCATGCTTGTCGTAAGAGCCACATGAACTGGTTATTGGATGGTTACCAAATGCGTGGACCTGAGCATGCTAACCAGCACTGGCTGCCGAACAGAGATTCGATATTATTTGTTTATTTGTTTGTTGTTTAACGCCGCACTCAGCAATATTCCAGCTATATGACGCCGGTCTATAAATAATCGAGTCTGAACCTGACAATCCAGTGGTTGACATCCTGAACATCCATCTTCGCCATTGGGATACGATGAAATGCATCAACCAAGTCAGCGAACCTGAGATCCAGTTAGTCGCCTCTTACGACAAGGATAGTCGCCTCTTACAACAAGCATGGGTTGCTGAAGACCTATTCTAACCCGGATCTTCACGGGTCAGATACGATACCTACAGAATGACATAACCTGGGATATTGCTGATTGTGGCTTTAAATCAGACAAACACAAGCAGCTCTTTGTTAAGAACCACTGAATAAATACAGATACGAACCTGTATACTTGTAATTCAAGGCGTTTAAGGCGCCTTTGGGCAGGCCAAAATTCTATGATTGTGGGTTCGAATCCCGGTTCGCCCCAAATATGGTCCAAGGTTTGTCAGCAGGTAACGAAGAGGTAAGCGTCTATACCTTCATTACTTTGGCTTTCCTCCCACATTAAGCTGACACGCCGTGATAAAGTAGTAATTGGAATACTGTTCAAATCGGCATAAAACCCAAATCTCTGACTCACTCTTTCTGGTGGCATGCTTGAAGACATCCATGATTTATGTAATTGCCATTTAATCCTGCTGACTATGATATTCTGATACTGCAAATGGAACTGGAATTTGCCTCAAGCTGTTCCATTTAGTTGAAAGGGTATATTAATCATTGAAATATCAAGTCAATTGTTTAAGGTTTAAATTTAGTTGGAGGGAGTAGGCAACAGCTGTACCGCGATAGGTTAGTTGACAACCCATAAACACAACGGTATTATTCAGGATAATGCGGGATCACGTATACTGATAACCTAATTGCATATATGTACAGTACCCTATCGCTGCAAATGAAGTCGTCCATAGAGATACTACATCACGTTTGTATAAAAGGTTGGGTTTTGGAACGTTCTATTTTAGTTCGATCAGCTCATCGGGAGGTTGAGTTGCCTGGTACAGATAAGACTATGGATCAACAACTGGTTTTCTTTGTCAATGGGAACAAGGTAAGATTTTAGAATTCAATTAAACAGGCTGATTGCATTTACGTTACATGTGTAGGTCTTTATAGCGAAAAGTACTATGTTCAACACGCTTATTAGTTTACACTGATGCACTGCCAAAGGTTAGTTTGAACAGAGCTTCATAGTGTCCACAGAATAGTAACAAGAGTCGCCTTATATTAAAAAGCTATAATCGCCACCCCTCTGTAACAGTGGGCACTGATGCCAATGATTCGTAGAAACATATATTGAGGGGTTAGTGCCAAAACCACTTATCTCCTTCCCTCGCCGTTTTCAGAAATCAGCACTTTCACGTTTAAAAGACGCTTAAAAGTAAACACATTCAGTTATATATGAAATGATTTGTTTGTGTTGGGTTTCCTTTTCTGTCTGTTCTAACTTGAAATCAGATATGCCAACATAGATTGAGATAGGTAAACAATTCGTCAACGCAAAATACATGTTCTTGTGTGATTCCCTGATGCGAATGTGGAGTACATCTGCTGGCGAGAAACTGTCGTTATCTGTCTTCAAGATAGGGAGACACTGTGATAAAGCGCCAAGGTCCCAGTTCAAAATGTCGTTAGCTGCGAGTGGTAGCTTTTGGCAGTGTATAATGTTTCAAGTTGTGCCCGCTTCTCCCAATCTTAACAGCACCGGGACGGCTGTCTGCGTGTGGGGACAATTAAGAGCAATAAAAGCTAATTTGTCAGATAGCTCCTCTCCCAGTTTAAGTTGGCATTCCCGGCTGATTTTACCGAGGACTTTTGCCTGAAACCGTGTACAGGTATCTTCCGTTATATTGATAAAAATAATCTTCTAAATACAACAATGAACTTCAGAATAATTCATTATTTGTTTTCATCTGAATTTTAATTAAACATTTCTCTATCTATCTGGGTTGGTTTTTCTCTTGCTTTGACAATTTATATCTATAGACTAAACAAATCAATAATGGAATATGTATTACATGAAATAAAATAATAATTTCCAATATGATGTATTTTAATAACATCATACAGGTCATATTACACTTGCTATTTTGAAAGATGATAATATGTCTTTTAGTAAGAGTTTTATGTGCCCAAAGTAATAATGAGTGAGTGAGTGAGGGAATGAGAGGGTATGGTTTTACGCTGCTTTTAGCAGCATTCCAGCAATACAATATTTTAGCAATATCCTAAACAAATAAATAATGGAATATGTATTACATGAAATAAAATAATAATTTCCAATACAAAGTATTTAAAAAATATATACATGTAATACAATAGTTGATATTTGTTAGAAGTAGTGTATCTAGAAATCTGAAATATGGATACATAACGTAATCAATACGTTCTTTTTATCCTTAAAAATGTAATAATATTTCAGATATTTATTATAACTTAATATACTAGAAATATACTTTGTGTGTCTTTCTTTAAATGCTCATATTACTATACATCCAACCAAATGAGCGCCTAGCGTGCTGTGGGGCGTTTAATATACTTCTGAAGAAGGGAGGAATTTTGTAAATTTATTCAATTATGCAATTCAGACTATTCTAATAAGATTAATACGAGCATTAACTTTAAATATATAAGTTTTTTCTAACACTGATAACTGATCGAACCAGTATTACCAGAGAGATTCACTTTAAATACGCAGTTGAAAATATTAGTACAAAGTACTAATGTACTAATTACATCTGTAGCATGTTGTAATATATACCTTGTAAAGTGAGTGAGTGAGTGAGTGAGTGAGTGAGTGAGTGAGTATGTATTTACGCCGCTTTTAGCAATATTCCAGCAATATCACGGCAGGGGACACCCCTTGTAAAGATAAATCCATTCAATTGCTAACACTATGTAGTATGACAACAAACTTGTTGAAATGTAAAGCTTCCAAATAACTTGAAATCGTTGGTCTGAAAATATTTCACGGTACATGGTGATATTCATCATGAGACTTAATGTCAATGTTGAACACATACGTAGTTCACTCAGCATCTGTGTCGGTATCGTCCTCGAGAGCATCTGGCCTTGGCAGATGATCAGGAGAGCCAGCATGAGAGGGCAGGCTTTTGTAGAACTCGCGATATTCAATTGGAATAACTACTTTCAGCCGATCCTTCTTCTTGGCTGCATATATTTATTGTTTCTATTCATATCTTCCCGTGAGTGAGTCTGTTGAGGTCTGAGGCCTGAGGTCTCCCTCTGCCTCTTGCTCCTGTTACTTTGATTTCACTGAAACTGTCATCACAGTAGTCAGGCTTGAACATGATGCAGTCAGGGCTTGCTTGCACAAATTATAACCCGCATATTCTTTAGTATTTCTCAGCTTTTGCACGTAGTAAATATCACTGACTAAAGTACAAGGTGCAAGCAGCTCAGTGCAAGTCAAATGTTCCAGCAAAAGTAAAGGTATCATTTTTTGTAAGATCCTCATCTTTAACTTTTGCCTCTCAAGCTTTCATTTTTCTTTCCTGGTGTTCTGTTTGTAGCTGCTCAGTAAGAGAACCGCTGTTCTTCTCCCTCTGTAAAACCTCTGGCACAAGGAACACCGATCTTATTTGTGAACATGAAATGAATTTATTTATTAATGATTGAAACATTTCCTCTAAAGGGCAGCAGAGACCGCTCCAATGTCACGTGTCTCACGTTTTTCTTTATACAAATCATACATTCAGGGCCGAGATATTTTCTGTTAGTGTCTTTGCCGGTGTAATGGGCATCCATTGTTGGGACTGACAACATACCCTAATCTTTCGTCGGCAGTCCTGTTGTGGGGTATGTGTTTTCCACGCTTGTCAGTACCTATAAATATGCCTTGATTCTTAGAGCACGGGTGATGTAAGCCTCTGAGTCTCACCCTTCCAAATGAAGGGCACATACCCAGAGACGTACACCTCCGATTACCCCTACCTTTCTACACTGGAGTGAGTATTGTTTTGGGCCTCTTTTAGCAATATTCCAGCAATATCACGGCGGGGGACACCAGAAATGAGCTTCACACATTGTACCCATGTGGGAATTGAACCCGGATCTTCAGCATGACGAGCGAACACTATAACCACTAGGCTACCCCACCGCTCCTCTACATTAGAGGTGAAATAAATTTCGGGTTTAACGTCGCTTCCAAGATTATTGCACTTATATAGCCTGTGTGTGTGTGTGTGTGTGTGTGTGTGTGTGTGTGTGTGTGTGTGTGGCTGCTTGTACAAGTCCGAACTGATATACTGCCGTCTATATCCAAGATGTGAGCTTCAGCATTGTAAAAGCAGTTTCCGTCTGCAGGTATTTGGATTTTCTCGTATCCATTGCAGGAGGCAAGTTGTTCTAAACGTTTTGAACGTATCTGTTTCATTCGTGTTGCATGAGTTTTTCACTACCTTGTTGTTTTTCCGTGAACCTTTCACTGGTGTATTACTTTTGCTTGACATATAAACCACTATCAGAAGAAAAGCCATCTTCATTCCGGAGTTATTCATCTCAAGGTGATTGACAGCTTCTGTCACTTGAAGAGTTTACCAGGGGCTCATCAGAACTTTCAAAATCATTGTCATCCAACTAGGTGCTTGTTGTTCTTTCCAACAGTTCCATGTCTGCTTGAACAGTTTTCTGTTTGTTCATTCACCTGTCCTTACCTTCTGTATCTTCACTCCGTTGTATATGATGTTGGTTGTCATGCCCATCTATCTGTTTACCCCCTGACTGTTAAGTTTCTGTCTGTTCTATTTTGTGCTTTTCTTGTAGCTGTACATCATCGACATGGTCACCTTTCAAGTCTTCTTTCTCTGATTGATCTATCCCCGTTCCGCAGGCTTCAGTTCATTTATGTTGTCCTTATTTCTCTTTTCACACTCACTCCGTTCTATTTCTTTTAGATCTGTGCTCTGCTCTACCAGTCGCTCGCTTTCGTCAGGTTCAATAATCTATTCCCTTTTCTGAAATAAATTATTTTAATTAACTACGCAACTACACAAAAGGTATATCATTAATATAATATTCCACGTGACTTGTTTCTCACGACGGAGGAAACAAGATTTTTTAACTAGTGGCTACGTCACTTGACAGAGAACGTGATATTTCACTCGACACATGGAATAACCTCTATTTATTACACATAGTGTTTGAAAAAAAAAAGTTATAAAAATCATATGTATACTGGTGAAAACATCACGTCACTCACCCTGGTGTGTTGCTTGCGTCATATGGACGGTTAAGTTGACGTCATCTGGACGGTGTAGTTGACGTCATCCGTTGTCATTGTAATTTACTGACGAACTTTACGTTGCATAAGACCTTCACATGTCGCGTACCGCTTCTTGCAACGTGCCGCTGTAGATAAATGCATGCGCGATAATACGACACAGATATGGGTACGTATACAATGAAAATATACTTAGGTTTAAAAGTGTGATATACAATCATCAAGGGCAACACTTAAATTACCGATTGCAAAACGACCTAGAATGAACGGTTAGCTGATCCCACCGCCTCGCTTCGAACGGCCTTTAAATGGTTTATTATCACAATGTAAGCAGTCGTTGTCATCCCTGATGTATCATATATTTCAAGACATGACAACAGATAGATCATTATTTAGATGAAAGGATATATTTTCCTTACACCAGCGTGAACGTTACCAATGGAGGTGAAAGCCTACACTGGTTAACTGTCTATATAGGTGTGATAGTAACACACGTACATACTGAGCGTATCGCACATACCACATGTGCTGTCAGCGCACCTAGTGGGTTAGAGAAAGGAAGATAAATAAAAAATTGTCAATCGACAATTGTGGTTTTCTCAGACGGTGATATTTTTCTAAATGGGAGCTCAAACAGTTTGAGAAATAAAGAAATTATTACACTCGCATGTGTATTAGCTTCTCTTTCGGTCGGTAAATACAAGAATTCTGACACTCGTTTCGTGAAATCAGTATGACACACACGCTCATATAATAATCTCAATAAACATACTGCATTCAGGACTTTTAATCCTGTCGTTTTGTCAATCTCACTGAAATTCAGATTATAGTTCTCGCTATCGCTAATCAAAGATCTAAAGACATCTCATTACGGGTCATGCCAGAACGACCTTTCGCGAACTTTGACCGACCAATGAATGACTAACAAAAAGTCTACACCAGCCACTCAGAAAGCAGCTTTCACCAGCTTCATTGTGCTTGCTTCAAACTGGCGACTATGCTTTGAAATTATATCAATTCAAAATTTGAAAACAGAACCAAGGACATTCTGGAATGTCTAATAGATGATCGATATTATACGGCAGTATTTACTACGGGCTGTGGAATGTTTTTTCCGTTTCCGATCACTTTCCCGATCTGATAAGCGACGCTCTGATTGGTCGGATGAAAGGTCGTTCTGACGTGCCCGTAATGGGATGTCCTCAGATCTTTGTTTTGAGGTAGCGGGAACTAAGATCTGATTTTAATGGGGTTGGACATATTGGCTTCTTCTGATTCTGTTAGTTGCCATAAAGTGGGAAGCATAGGCAGCGTATTTGCCGCAACCATTATCGCTTCCACGCTTGTCCTAAGGTGAATCACAGGACTATAACGAGATATGAAATGGATGCATTGGTTGAGCTTGTTGTCTTTAGTGTTAATTCGAAACACATAATTAAGGAATCGATTCGTTGGCAAAACCATTGTCATTGTTTATACATCACTTTAGATCTAACCTTTGGATGTACTGTCTTTGTACGTGGTTGATGCTTCTTTTGTGGAAGTGGGAAAGGAACCTTACCCTCAAGTATATATTCTCTAAGTTCACGGATTTGGGTTTTATTTCCGAAGATATCTCGAGCTTTGGAATTGTAAGTTTAATAAACGACATTTAAAATTAATGGGGAATCAAACTTTATAACTGCAGAACATTCCAAATGATAATGACAAATTACATTTTGCAAAAATTACATGTACCATGTATGATGTGTGAGTAAATAGAGTTTCTATTATAACTTGTCTTGGTGGGGGTTCAGAATGACTGAATCATAGCATTCAACCATAAAACGATTGCTCCGCACTGTACCAGGTCGTGGAGTCGAGCCCGGACCCAGAAACGACGCTTCTTCAGTACTTGAGGACCAAGTGTAAGATACTTTAATCCCAACATATTTAAGTCTTAACATCACACAATCTTACCTGTGAAGATCCGGGGTTGAATTGGTCTTCACAAACCCATGCTTGCCGTAAAAGGCGACTATGCTGGTCGTAAGAGGCGGGTAACGGGATCGGGTGGTCAGGCACGCTGTCTTGGTTGATGATTGTCATCGTATCCCAATTGCGTGGATCGATGCTCATGATGTCAATCACTGGATTGTCTGTTCAAGATTCGATTATTTACAGACCGCCGCCATGTAGCTGGAATATTGCTAAGTTCGGCGTTAAACAAACAACAAACAAACCTGCTGCTTAAACTGTTTTCAAATTCAGTTCACCAATTTTCTGTTATATTAAATACTCTGGTAATTACTTAGGTTTGTACAATATGTTATAATATGTTACCGATGTAGTAATAATATGTATTATTTTAAAGATATATGAACCTCATTGGGACTCTGTATTACAATCGGTACCCTGATTGTCAATCTGCCGAGCAATGTTTTTTGGATGATCATAATGTGTGACCTGGTTGCTATCAACCTCTAGTTTGCCTCGAGTATATACCGATCAACGTGCTATGGCTGGAATAATGCTTGATATCACACTGAAAATGAACTAAAGCACGGGACTGATAGATGGACATGTGTTTTTGCATCACTTGACGAAACAGCCGACGTCATTTTTTAATAAAAATGATACTTTCTAGTACGTCTGACGGGCAGTAAGCTGGGATGTGGCGAGGGCGGATGCGGGGCGTGCACCGTCATGGTGTCCCGATACAACAGCCGCACGGACACCATATCGTATCCTCTTATGTGAAAACACTTTACAACACTGCTACATCGTGTATATGTTACAGTACGTCTGACGGGCAGTAAGCTGGGATGTGGCGAGGGCGGATGCGGAGCGTGCACCGTCATGGTGTCCCGATACAACAGCCGCACGGACACCATATCGTATCCTCTTATGTGAAAACACTTTACAACACTGCTACATCGTGTATATGTTACAGTACGTCTGACGGGCAGTAAGCTGGGATGTGGCGAGGGCGGATGCGGGGCGTGCACCGTCATGGTGTCCCGATACAACAGCCGCACGGACACCATATCGTATCCTCTTATGTGAAAACACTTTACAACACTGCTACATCGTGTATATGTTACAGTACGTCTGACGGGCAGTAAGCTGGGATGTGGCGAGGGCGGATGCGGAGCGTGCACCGTCATGGTGTCCCGATACAACAGCCGCACGGACACCATATCGTATCCTCTTATGTGAAAACACTTTACAACACTGCTACATCGTGTATATATATTTTTTTCACTGTTGTTATTTTAAGGGGCATGTAATAATGTAACCTATTGAAGCATGTTCAGAATTCACAAAAGCTACAATGACCTTAACAATATAGCCATATCGTATCCTCTTATGTGAAAACAGATAACCGTCAAAATAGATCCATCGAATTCGATGGTGTGCTTTGACATAGTAACAGGAATTACTTCATCACCAAGCCACATTGGTATCCAAATACTTGCACTTGTTCACACCAAAGAAACATAATTGGCTCACACATACGTCTTATAATCACCGACCATTAAATTTATCAACAATAGATAAATATACACGTTCATATTTTCTTTAACAACACTGCCACTACTCAATAAATGCGTGTCTGGCGCCCATCTGTTCCCTCCATGGTATGGCTGTAACTACAGTGGAGGGTATTGGCAGCACCAAGACCAGGCTACACCCAGTACAGGTAAGTCTGTTCTCTCCATGGTCTGGCTGTCACTTCAGTAGAGGGTATAGGCAGCACCAAGACCAGGCTACACCCAGTACAGGTAAGTCTGTTCTCTCCGTGGTCTGGCTGTCACTACAGTAGAGGGTATAGGCAGCACCAAGACCAGGCTACACCCAGTACAGGTAAGTCTGTTCTCTCCATGGTCTGGCTGTCACTACAGTAGAGGGTATAGGCAGCACCAAGACCAGGCTACACCCAGTACAGGTAAGTCTGTTCTCTCCATGGTCTGGCTGTCACTACAGTAGCGGGTACAGGCAGCACCAAGACCAGGCTACACCCAGTACAGGTAATTCTGTTCTCTCCATGGTATGGCTGTCACTACAGTAGAGGGTATAGGCAGCACCAAGTCCAGGCTACACCCAGTACAGGTAAGTCTGTTCTCTCCATGGTATGGCTGTCACTACAGTAGAGGGTACAGGCAGCACCAAGACCAGACTACACCCAGTACAGGTAAGTCTGTTCTCTCCATGGTCTGGATGTCACTACAGTAGAGGGTAAAGGCAGCACCAAGACCAGGCTACACCCAGTACAGGTAAGTCTGTTCTCTCCATGGTCTGGCTGTCACTACAGTAGAGAGTAAAGGCAGCACCAAGACCAGGCTACACCCAGTACAGGTAAGGCTGTTCTGTCCATGGTATGGCTGTCACTACAGTAGAGGGTATAGGCAGCACCAAGACCAGGCTACACCCAGTACAGGTAAGTCTGTTCTCTCCATGGTCTGGCTGTCCTACAGTAGAGGGTATAGGCAGCACCAAGACCAGGCTACACCCAGTACAGGTAATTCTGTTCTCTCCATGGTCTGGATGTCACTACAGTAGAGGGTATAAACAGCACCAAGACCAGACTACACCCAGTACAGGTAATTCTGTTCTCTCCATGGTCTGGCTGTCCTACAGTAGAGGGTATAGGCAGCACCAAGACCAGGCTACACCCAGTACAGGTAAGTCTGTTCTCTCCATGGTCTGGCTGTCCTACAGTAGAGGGTACAGGCAGCACCAAGACCAGGCTACACCCAGTACAGGTAATTTATCATTGAAAATTATAATGTTATTCTAAACCAAGTTAAAACATAACAACGTATGCTTGTTGTTTCCAGGAACGTCTGGCTAAAGCCCACGGGTCTCAGTGTGGGTTCTGCACTCCGGGCATCGTCATGTCCATGTATACTCTGCTCAGGAACAGCCCACGGCCGACACAAGAACAGATAGAGGACAATTTCAGTGGTACGTATACAATGCACCTCAAATGATTAAAGTGCTCGTCGCTCATCCAGTTTTCATTGTCATAGTAATGGTAGTATATAGTGAATGTACAGAGAAAGTGTATAAAGCGACAAAACCCTTAGAAATTTCTGCATTAAGCAGAGTGGATTGAATGTTTCCGACTATATTATGAACATGTGTTTATGAATCACCATCAAATAGTAAATATACAAGGTGTTCGCATAAAGATGAGTGTATCCTGTTCCACCGGTGGCACCCGTCACAAACACATGCAAAGGCAAGTCAATTGAGCACCTGAAAATGGTACAAGTAAACATATGGTACAAGTCAAAATAGGGATTTACATCGGACATCATTTTTGTCACTGAAGCATCAAATTTGGAAATATCCTCCACATGTCAAAAAAACAACTTTTGGAAAGCTTTCCTGAGACCTTGAATGTGTATAACTGATGGACTATATAAATGTACAATAATGCACTATATTGAATTCGCCATACTTCTAACCTTTTGTTTGAGAGAGGCTTCAACTACACTCGTTGGATAAAAGATTTATTCACAGAGCACACATGTCTGACATCGACGATGCATGAATGTCAACAGACACATATATTCAAACATCAGGGACAGTTAATTCTGATCATCATTTCCGGTTAACATACATGTATAAGATCAGGTAAAGCATGTAATAGTGCAAATAAAACGTCCATAAGATATCAATACACAGTAACTTAAGTTTACATTCTAACAAACTATATAACTGAGCAGCATACACAATTAAAACGTCAACCACACAACACATCTCGATTATCTGTCGAAACAGATTCCATAGGGCGTAAAAGGCAAAATAGTAATGAAAATAATATGAATAGACCATTGAAATTCGGTGATGACACAAGTTTAGATGAAAGGGGTAAGGATGTCCTGCTCTGCCAGAAGCAATCAGCACTCACACAATTTCCATAAAATGGTCAGTGTTTGTTGCCTTATCGCCGTACGCCAGTGATTGGTATCCAGTGCAATGATCCACATCGTCGGGGCACCACGGTTCTTGTGTCCATTATTCACTCAACTAGCTGGGGCGGTCGGGTAGCCTAGTGGTTACAGCGTTCGCTCGTCACGCCGAAGATCCGGGTTCGAATCCCGACATGGGTACAATGTGTGAAGCCCATTTCTGGTGTCCCCCGCCGTGATATTGCTGGAATATTGCTAAAAGCGGCGTAAAACCAAACTCACTCACTCACTCACTCTCAATTAGCTACAACACAGTATGTTCTAATTGTTGTTCAACACATCACTCAGCAATAGTCCAGCTATTTGACAGATGTCTGTAAATAATCGAGTCTAGCCCAGAAATTCCAGTGATTGATATCACTTTGGATATCAATTGGGATTAGATTACATCATCAACCAAGTCACCAGGCCTGACCAGCCGATCCATTTAGTAGCCCTTACGACAAGCCTGGAATAACCATGGATGCTACTGTCACTTAAAGTACTGGGAAGATTGTGTCGCTGAATGCACTAAACCCTTAGACTAGCCCGGGGTAACAGGACACATGTGTCGTCTCAGCTGAATAATGCATATTTTCTTTTTTTATATACTTCAGTGTGAAAGATCGAGTTTTCTGAAGTTGAGAAACGTGATATTTCATTGCAGTGAACATAACACTTGATATTTCACTGCAGTGAACATAATACTTTGACGGAACTGTTGTCATACAAGAGTTACCTTCCCTTAAATTGTCTCCCTTTATCAGTGTCAAGCCCGTACACAAACTGTTGACGTCCTCCTCACGTTAGTTCCACATCTACAAGGAAACATAATGACAGATGGTCATTTATGCCGTTTGTTAATCTCTCGAAAATATTTCGTATTAAACTGTAAATTTCGCATTTCCCTCATCAGTGGAGACTTTTTGTCTCGCTAAGCGCCATTTTTGTTACTTGCCCAGCGTGTATTCTTTCGCTTCCATCAGCGGTCTCCTCGTTTGCAAGAATATTTGTTTTAAAAGTTAATTTAGTATATTATCATTTCGAGATGTATGATAAAGAATTTTCGTGACCCTTAATATTTTTGGATACTTTTGTTTACATTGTTTAAGATTTAAGAATACGAAACTACTTTTTAAGTCGCAAATACAAGGGGTGGTGAACCGTCCCTGTGTGTTAGGTAGGGAGAATTTACGTTTCAAGATTTTACATTTGTAATGAAATAATTTTATTTTCGAGTAGACAATTACAAGTATATAATAAATAGGATATTCCATATGTCTCCTGACATATCATGTTTCTCTCATATCGTGACGGGGAAGAGGGAGATATTTCACTCGACACATGAAATATCCTCTATTTATTGCATTTTAGTGTATTTTTACGCATCAATCGTTAGTAACACAGATTCGGTTGACAGGAAACCTATGTCGCTGTACTGGTTACAGACCCATACTTCAAGGAATGTCATCATTTGCCAAGGTAGGTTCCTTACGTTTGTACCAACGTCTGGTTCAGAGTTGGTGAGTGAGTGAGTATGGTTTTACGCCGCTTTTAGCAATATTCCAGCAATATCACGTCGGGAGACACCAGATCTGGTTCAGAAGTTATAGGGTGGTTTGTTTCTGCGACATTCATTGACACTACACTATATGTCTTTGTGTATGTCTGTAGTTACCGTTTTCATGTGTCTGTGTTACATATATCTTACCCCAGGTGGAATTACTGCATATATATATATATATATATATATATATATATATATATATATATATATATATATATATATATATATATATATGCATAAATACCACTAAAATGTTAAGGACTACCCGATTCTTTGATATTACTGTAGTTATAGAGGCGGTCGGGTGGCCTAGTGGTTAAAGCGTTCGCTCGTCACGCCAAAGACCCGGGTTCGATACACAACACGGGTATAATGTGTGAAGCCTATTTCAGGTGTCCCCCGCGGTGATATTGTTGTAATATTGCTAAAAGCGGCGTAAAACCATACTCACTCACTCACTGTAGTTATTATAATATGTCATGGCAACACAGATTAATTGTAGTAATATGAAGGGATCGCGTGGTTCTTAACTATTCTCGAGTAGTATATAACGTTATAGGTTATTATGTTGTTGTTACCCTTCTTTCTATAATGGAGAGTGCCCAAATGCCTTAGTTTCCCAAACGTTTACTACACGAAGTCTCACGTAGGACCAGGCGGTCGGGTAGCCTAGTGGTTAAAGCGTTCGCTCGTCACGCCAAAGACCCGGGTTCGATTCCCGACATGGGTACAATGTGTGAAGCCCATTTCTGGTGTCCCCCGCTGTGATATTGCTGGAATAAAGCGGCGTAAAATCATTTTCTCTCTCTCTCTCTCTCTCTCTCTCTCTCTCTCTCTCTCTCTCTCTCTCTCTCTCTCTCTCTCTCTCACGTAGGACCAAGAAATGAACCATTTCGAAGTGTTAATTTGTTTTGTTTATTTATATACATTGCTCACAGACATTATTATTATTAATCATTCATATTGAAGAACATTCACGCATCGTGATGTATGTATTATTGCAGGGTGGTTGCAGAATGGGAGACCGATGTTGCCGGGTGAATGTCTCAGTGAGCAATTTCCTTGATACCATACGACCGCCACATCAGAGTAACTCAATGATATTTCCATATTTACACTAATTACATACATATGAAATCTTTAACATGTGGTAGCAATTCTGTGTTCGTGGGTTCGAGGGCGGTCGGGTAGCCTAGTGGTTAAAGCGTTCGCTCGTCACGCCGAAGACCCGGGTTCGAATCCCGACATGGGTACAATGTGTGAAGCCCATTTCTGGTGTCCCCCGCCGTGATATTGCTGGAATATTGCTAAAAGGGGCGTAAAAACAAACTCACTAACTCACTCACTCACTCGTGGGTTCGAATCCAAGTTATTCCTGATTGTGTTTCTGGGTTTGTCAGGACCATACCCGTGCTCGTGGGTTTCAGTGGTATAGTAAACGTCTAAGATATGAATTATTTTGGAGTTCCCTCCAACATAATTCGACATGTTGTCATGATGAAATACTTGGCGTTACACCTAATTCACTCCTTCCGGAGTATCAGATTAAGGCAACTAATTTTATCCTGTTTTCTCTGATAACGCGCTGATGGATATATGTCAATAATATATGCAAATCAATACTCAGACGTGTAACTCTCTAAATTCCAGGACTCGTCTCCTGGCGCCATAAAAGGGTCAGACGACGCTGGTTCAAGTGATGTCTTGAACGGTGTGGCTGATGGTCACCTAAAGTATGATCCGACACAGGAGCCGATCTTTCCTCCGGAATTAAAGGTGAAATTAACTGGACAATCAGTCCTTAAATGTGTTGTCCTCCCACCTTTGTCAAAGTGTCCTATTGTCATATGTGTGTCATATGTCCTGAAAATGTGTGTCCACACAACAAGCATTTTGAAGTACACTGTTCTCATATTAAATAACTGATCGTACTGATTTCAGACCAAGTCTCATTTGTACGAGACTTCATTGAGATTCTCATCTGAACGCGTCACCTGGCATCGTCCTGTCACCCTGGATGAACTTTTCGACTTAAAGAACAACTTTCCCACTGCCAAGATAGTGGTTGGCAACACAGAAGTAGGTCAGTAGCCACTGGCAGCTAGTTGGGCAGCCAATTAGGATGACAATCTCACGGATGCTAAAACCATCCATCAATCCCTTAATGTTCAATCTATCTAATATCGTGATTATTTAATAAAGGTTTATCTAAATGTATTATTCTTTGCATACAAAGGAATTGAAACCAAGTTAAAGAACATGGAGTATCCCATACTGGTTGCTGCTACTCACATCCCATCGCTGCATCAAGTTGAGACGTCAACCAAAGGCATCACGTTTGGGTCATCAGTTTCACTTGCAACCGTTGATGATGTGCTCCGTAAGGCAATTGCGGATATGCCAGGTAAATATGTGTATAGCCTATAAAATAATTACAATGCAAGTTCCGAATATATGTTATAACAAGAAACACGCATCTGCTTAAAAATCTAAAATATTGTTGTCTGTTTCAGAATACAAGACTAGAAGCTTCAGAGCCTTTGTAGAGATGCTGCAATGGTTTGCCGGTCATCAGATCAGAAATGTGGCGGTGAGGACGCTAAAAAAATGCACAATAAAATAGCACATGCATTATCCTCCATGCTGAATATATTCTTGTAAATTATCTGCTATTCATATTTGAATAACGTTCAATTTTAAATCCACACTCCAGATTATGTATATTGCAAATATTCTTTGAAAACAATTGCGGTGGGATTGCCTTGTCGTTATAATGTTCATTCTCGACCTCGACCGCCCGGGTTCGATTCTCCATATGGGTACAATGTGTGATGCCCATCTGTTATCTGTTATTCTTTGTAAATACTCACATTTACATGATGCTAATATAGATCATGACTTTATAGGGGCACTGTGGTAGTCTAGTGGTTATAGCGTGCGCTCGTCTCGCTGAAGATCCGGGTTCGATTCCCCACATGGAGTACAGTGTGTGAAGCCCATTTCTGGTGCCCCCCGCGGTGATATTGGTGGAATATTGCTAAAAGCCGCGTAAAACACTGCTCATTCACTCATGAGGTGAGGTGAGGTAAAATTGGGTTTAACGTCGCGTCCAAGATTATTACACTTATATAGCGACGTGCATGTACGTGTATGTGTTTGTGTGGCTGCTTGTACAAGTCCGGACTGATGCCGATTTATAGTGCTAGCTCACTGAGATACCATGCCGCAGTTTAACATGAATACCCCACTCAGACACAGTATACTGACTCCGAGCCGACCAGTCCTTGTTTTAGCCCCTTAATGCCGAGCGCCAGACTGGGTAACAACAAGTACCATCGTTTAACGTCTTTTGGTATGACGCGGCCGGGGATCGAACCCCGGACTTTCCGCTCTCCGGGCGGACGCTCTATCTCTAGACCACGGTGGCGGCTTCACCCACTTATGACTTTATGTATGTCTTCAGAGCATCGGTGGAAACATAACGACGGCTAGTCCCATATCGGACCTCAATCCTCTCCTTGTCGCGGCTGGGGCAACACTCACTGTGGGAAGTAAACGTGAGAACATTCTTTTTGTATTCGTTCCTTTATATGCAATAATGATGTGTATGTATTTGCGTAATCCAAGTGAGATGAGATGAAATGGGATTTAACGTCGCGTCCAAGATTATTGCACTTATATAGCGACGTGGATGCATGTGTGTGTATGTGTGTGGCTTCTTGTACTTGTCCGGACTGATGCCGATTTATAGTGCTAGCTCACTGAGATACCATGCCGCAGTTTATCATGAATACCCCACTCAGACACAGTATACTGACTCCAAGACGACTTGTTCTTGTTTTAGCCCCTTAATGCCGAGCGCTAGACCGGGTAACAACAAGTACCATTTTTTAACGTCTTTTGGTATGACAACCACGGAGGCCGTCCGTAATCCAAGTACATGTATTCATATGTGATATAATGACGCGATTGAAATAAGTGAAATATAAACGATAACATAAAATTATTACAGCTACATCATTGTCGATAAGTCGTTTTTTCTGACATGTTTGATAGAATTATATTTCACTTCTCCGTTCATGTTTGTAAATATGACCCGTATAGAGGTTTTGATTTGGGCCGTTTCCGAAGGTTGATCAAGACATTACATACTGTTCAAAACAAATTTACCCTCCACCTTAACAAGTAGAAGCAATTTCTCGTAATGTTCGCGATGGCGTTTACGTTTGTTTAAATAGCAGTTACTAAATAGCCATTCCGACGAAAGCAAACGTGACGGGAATCTATCACGTCCCTGTCGCGATCACGGGGAGTTTATTTTGAACAGAAGAGTATATTTCTTGCAGACAGTGCCCCGCGAGATATCGTCATGGATGGAGACTTCTTCAAGGGCTACCGGAGGACTGCAATCCAAGCTACAGATGTTTTGATATCTGTAACGATACCATACACATTAAAGGTAACTTCGGTATCATTTGGAGTTGTTCAGAGGATTGTATGACGTTTACCCCAATAGAAATACCGATATATATTTTACTGGCTTTTAAATACAAAAAAATCAACCTATCACTTCAGAACGAGTATTTCAGAGGTTTCAAGCAGGCTCATCGCAAGGAGGATGACATCTCAATAGTGAACGCCGGCATGCGGGTAAGATTCCTGGAAGGAACCGACGTCGTGGAAGACCTTGTTTTGGTATACGGCGGCATGGCAGCAACAACAGTATTGGCATCAAACACTCGGGCAGGACTCCGTCAACAGTTAGTGAACATACTAATTATCAATACTGTTGCAATGACTGGCCAAGCCTGCTTTTGTTACATTCACAACAAACGCTCCGAATGTTGAAATGTGCAATCAGATGTTAAGAAGATTGACATATCATTGTTTGTGCATTAGGGAATGGAACGACCAACTGTTCGAAAAGGCTTGTGTGTTACTTGCGAGTGATCTCCCCTTGGATCCTGGCTCACCAGGTGGCATGGTAGAATACCGGCGTGCTCTCACAACCAGCTTCTTCTTCAAGTTCTTTGTTGATGTTAGAGAAAAGCTGCACGGTTGTAAGGTAGGATGATTAATGTAATGGATTGAGATTCGTATAAAGATTAAAATCTGATAAGGTGGTTTATTTACAGCGCGGATGTGCTAATTTAAATACATTTGTACAGGTTCGTTATGTGGGGCTGTAGGTTTGTTTGAATGGAAAAGAAAGGTCACCAAAAAGGCCTCGACGGCGGCAATCGCCTCATCATAATTGGCAGCAACTGTACAACGCAGTTGTGGTTTGAGTTTCGGAAACAGATGAAAGTCTGATGGTGCTAGGTCAGGATATTTTCTTCGATGGCTTCTATCAATCGACCATAGGTCTGTGGCATTGTTTGATCAACATTTAAGGCCTCAGTAAAGGACGGTGCAATTCCCTATTTTGACTTGTACTATAGTTCCCGTGTTTGTTTCAGGGGAACAATTGACTTGCCTTTGCATGTGTTTGTGACGGGTGCAACCAGTGGGGAAGGAAACGCTCACTTTTTCGAGAACACCTGTTATCATTACTATTTGATTGTGATTCATAAACACAGGCTCATGATTTAGTCGGAATCGTCCAATCGACACTGCTTTATGCAGAGATTTCTATTGGATATGGAAAGTGTTTTGTCGCTTTATTTATTATTGTTATTATTATTGAGAGTCTGACCTCGCTGCAGATAGTAAAACCATGAATGTCACTTTACTGTCCCAGTAAACCAAGGCCACGACTTTGCCAACTTAGGCCACTCGTTTGTACTTTGATGGGGTTAAAGCCGAATGTGTCCACTCTTTAATTTGCTCCTACGTGATGACCCAGCTCTCATCCTGGGTTACAATTCGCATCACTTTATCAGGATTCTGCTGATCCTGGTCAAAAGGCTCATCGTCTGTGCTTCTCATCCTCGGTTAAATACCAGCAGACCATTTCATATTTTATGCTGGTACTCAATCACAGCTCGTTTCTCAGCTTTCGCAGTTTCTCTTCCATCTGTCAACTTCTCCAGTTAAATTCTCGAAAACAGATGCAGCTTTCATTCTGTTACGTGGTGTTAATAATATTCTTTAAAAACGGGTTGAAACCTTACATGTGAGTGAGTGAGTGATTTGGGTTTAACGCCGCTTTTAACAGTATTCCAGTTATATCACGGCGTGTCAGCTTAATGTGGGAGGAAAGCCCGAAGTGATGCAGGTCTAAACATAATCGGGGCGAACCGGGATTCGAACCCACAATCATAGGATTCTGGCGTGCCCAAGGGACGCAACTCTGCACAGCGAATCGCGGCGCCTTAGACGACTGGGCCACCCATGCCCCCGAAACCTTACATGACATAAAGCAATATCTACGAGACAAAGAACATGTATTTTTGCCATTGACTGTGATATAATAATGAACTCAAATATGATATAGAGTTGATGTCTTCTCCAGGAAAACACACAGAATGATACAGGAGATGTTACACAGGATGTAACACAAGGTTTGAGTGAGGGCGTGCAGTTGTACCAAGCTGTGGCACCCGAACAGGACCCGGATGATGCAGTTGGTAGACCACTTGTGCACACTTCCGCTCTCCAGCAGACGACAGGCGAGGCTATATATGTGGACGACCTGCCAAAGGTCGAAGGTTAGAGATAGACTGTATGCAACATCGACATGAACATAATGCAGAATACAAATTGTACAGTAGCCCAAAGTTGTATAATGCCCCACGATTCGTTTGGCAATGTTGAATGTCTTGTCAACGTGTCCCCGATTGTATTCCCTCCTCCCTGTCTATGAGAATCACTGTGATCTATTTCGTAACACGCCAACCGCGGGCACGGGTGGCCCATTCTTCAAAGGTACCGCAATTCACTGTGCAGAGTTGAGTCCCTTGGACACGCAGAAACGTTTGGTTGTGGATTCGAATCCCGGTTCGCCCCGATTAAGTTTCTGGGTTTGTCAGCACCATACTCGTGGGTTTCACCGAAGATGTAAACGACCTGCATCACTTCGGACTTTCCTCCCTCATTAAGCTGACACACCGTGATAAAACTGGAATACTGGTTGATGCATGTCACCGTATCCCAACTGCGTGGATCGATGTTGTGATGTCAATCACTGGATTGTCTGGTCCAGACTCGATTATTTAAAGACTGCGGTCATATAGCTGGAATATTGCAGAGTGCGGCGTTGAACAACAAACAAACAAACTCTTAAGTCAACAACACCAGGGACTATAATTAGAAATACACTGGGCAATACACTGGGCAATACACTGGGCAATATACTGGGCAATACACTGGGCAATATACTGGGCAATATACTGGGCAATACACTGGGCAATACACTGGGCAATATACTGGGCAATACACTGGGCAATACACTGGGCAATACACTGGGCAATATACTGGGCAATATACTGGGCAATACACTGGACAATGATAGCAGGATTATCAGTCTGGGTACAATTCCACACAATTGCTACGTTATTGTAGACGAGATGCATGACGTATTTGGGACTTCTTCTTAACGGAAATCCAAAGGGAATTACGATAGATATCACCAGTACAAGACAACAAGGATAACATTACAATACAATGCCTAAGAGAGCCTGCCGACATACAGGCGTTCAGTTAATTCGACTTTATTCTTGCAGGTGAGCTGTATGCTGCGTTAGTCATGAGTACAAGGGCACATGCCAAACTGGTGTCTGTAGATCCTTCAGAGGCACTACGCATGCGTGGGATTATCGACTACGTCAGCCTCAAGGACATCCCCGGATCTACAACATGGGGTATGATTGTACCTGACGAAGAGGAAATATTTGCGTCTGAAAAGGTTGGCATTGTACTGAAGGTTCATATTAATGACGCTTTATTCTTTGTGTCATAACTTCATTCCATTAAACATATTTGACATCATAGAAAATGAATTAGATAACCGAGGATGTATGTAACAATCATGAAGATTCTTTATAAGATGTAATCATTCGATGTAATTGTGTGTTCGCAAACACCTGGTGTCATTCATGATTTCTAATAATCTATTCAATTTTTTTCCATCACTGTTTTGCCTTTTACGTCTGAATGAATTTCTTTCCTCGGGTAATCGACACTGTTAGAGAATAATATCTGGCGTTGTCTTTTTGTTGTAGTTTATAAAATATTAACACGTCCCATTTTAATTCTGGAAACCCAAAAGTCCAGAAACTCTACGCTCTTTCCCCAGTCTCGGTTAAAGGTATTTACAAAATTAAACATGCCGTTTTCATGGGAACATACCAAGGAAGAAAAAATGAAAAAAAAATTGTTTAAAAACTCAATATTTAGATTATGTCGCCCATGGGCCTGCCCATGGGCAGGCCCATGGGCGAGAATATGTTCCTTTACTTAAAACTCATGTTTTTGTTTCGCAAATACATTTAATGTATTTATTGAAGTATCATGACACAAAATTTAACTCATTTTAACTTAATTCAACTATTTTATAGCGATATTGAAATATTTCGCCCATGGGCGAGAAAAAGGTTTGGCCCATGGGCGAGAATATGTTCCTTTACTTAAAACTCATGATTTTGTTTCGCAAATACATTAAATGTATTTATTGAAGTATCATGACACAAAATTTAACTCATTTTAACTTAATTCAACTATTTTATAGCGATATTGAAATATTTCGCCCATGGGCGAGAAAAAGGTTTGGCCCATGGGTAGGCCCATGGGCAGGCCCATGGGCGAGAATATGTTCCTTTACTTAAAACTCATGATTTTGTTTCGCAAATACATTTAATGTATTTATTGAAGTATCATGACACAAAATTTAACTCATTTTAACTTAATTCAACGATTTTATAGCGATATTGAAATATTTCGCCCATGGGCGAGAAAAAGGTTTGGCCCATGGGCGAGAATATGTTCCTTTACTTAAAACTCATGATTTTGTTTCGCAAATACATTAAATGTATTTATTGAAGTATCATGACACAAAATTTAACTCATTTTAACTTAATTCAACTATTTTATAGCGATATTGAAATATTTCGCCCATGGGCGAGAAAAAGGTTTGGCCCATGGGCAGGCCCATGGGCGAGAACATGTTCCTTTACTCAAAACTCATGTTTTTGTAGCGATCTTTAATGAACCTGGCCTTACCTCTCAAAACGTTTTGACAGTTTATCATACGAATTCATGTGCGTGTACTCCAATTCATTGGAGTTATTTTCCACAACATTAAATTTTAGTTAGTTTCTATTTCATTTCCCGTTTTTTATGTCCCGTTGATACATCACACTGGGCAATTACGTGACACTAGGTATGCAATATACAGGTACGCGTGCGCGTATTTTAATGAAAAAAACTATTCGTCTTTTATTGCATAACGTTTGGCTGAATATCTTACATTCTAACGAAATCTCGAAATAATTATTTAATTACAAGCAGTGTCGAACTGACCAGTAGGAATTATGTTTCAATGCGATTGAGGAAAACGTGAGTGAATATTGTGACACTAAAGCAACTTTTAACTGCATTGTCACTTTTGGTATGAAAATGGTAATAGTTAAGAAAAACGTAACAGCCTTCTTATGATAATTCTTATATTCTCATTAGTACGTTGTGTCTAATTACAGTGTCGGCCTTATTTACAGGTGATTCTACAATACTTGTTGTCAGTCAATTACAATCTGCCACACCACGCGTGAATAAACAGTTATGCAGGTGTTGCTGTGGGCAAATACCTAGCCTGTACATGTATATTTTTGTGGATACATGTATTACATATTTTCGTTGATATGTGGATATATTAAGCACCAAGACACAAAAAGTTTATGAAAGATGAATTTGTGCCTTGATATATATATTCAACGCGAACGATGCTTGTATTTTCTCCGCGATCCTGATGTGTATCATCGTTTAATTGGTCTTTCATTAAAAGTATGTTGTGAGGCGATATCAAAGGAGCCGCTCAATATACACAGCGTCGTCCGTTTCGCGTGAACTACCACCCTACCCTGTCAGTAAGAGTTATGTAATCGGTACACAAATATATTTGGTGCGATGTCAGTGTGGAAGGAGTTTGAATTACGTCCGCCAGTGGCCACAGAAAGTATAGTACCAATCAACAAGGCCAATGCCGTACTAATAACCTAGTGACTCTCGTAACAACGGCTGTCAATATGTCTGCTACATCTACCATACCATCATCCCTGTCACAACTGGCGTATTAACGGTTTATTCAACAAATTAAAGTAGAAATGTCGTTACCAGACTAACGTACGTCGTATTCAGTCCTCAACTGGATGTCACATTCCTTATATCAGTTAACAGCCCTGTTTGTGAAAATATTTACTAGACATAAGATTTAAAGACTAATAAAATCAATTGTAAGACCGCATAGACCATAAAACCGAACAAAATATGTCTTGGTATCATCTCTTGTGTATTAGATGATGGCAATGACCGGAAATGTTATAACGTTAGATTAAGAAGGAGAAACATTAAAGTGTTTTACAATACTTGGAAACATGAGCAATAAGATGTAGCAACATAAACATGCATGAAATAGGGACAAAGGATGAAAACAAATTGAAAAGGATTTTAATACAAAATTAATCGAACTAAATAACTTGCCTGAACAGAAGGGGTACCCAAACTTGTTTGACAGTTATTCGTGTGTTGTAGACTGTCGAATGGGACTCATGTGTGTACGTAGCGTACGCATATCTATTGCAAGTTTTAGTACTCATACACTTTCTCTTTTTGTGTTTTGTTTGTTTGTTAGTTGTATAACGCCACACTTAGCAATATTTCAGCTGTATGACGGCGGTCTGTAATAAACGAGTCTGGACCAGACAATCCAGTGATTGACATCATGTGCATCGATCCACGCAATTGGGATACGATGACATGCATCAACCAAGTCACCCGATCCCGGTAGTCGCTTCTTACGACAAGCGCTGTCGCCCTTTTACGCCAAGAATGGTTTGTTGAAGATCTTCACGGGTCTATTGAATGCAGGGATTTGTATAAAGTCATCAGACAGCATACAATGCCACCTAAAAATTATACTCAGTGTCTCCGCAAAGTAATATAGTACGGTACTTAGAGTACATGTGAGATTATACTCAGATTAGGGAGATGTTTAATCCATATAACGTGTTATTATTCTACCTAACAATGTATTTAATGAAATGAATGCAAAACAAACTCAACGGCTAAAAGGTTTCATTGAAAAAACTACCCCTAGTCTTGACTAATAAAACAACTGCAACCCGACACAGATTAAACGCAACTTACAAACACAATCATAATCTGGTTAGTCTGTATCACTCAACGAGGCCGCTTACTCTGCCCACAGTATGACAGTATTGGGCAGTTCAGTAATTAGGAGCCAAAACCAGACAGGTACGCTGGTCACACTTGACTGGTCTGACTGATGATTAGGTCGTCTGACAATTGGGAGTGAACCATAGCAAGAAGTATCTGCGAAACTATTTGCTCCTTTTATGGGACCGATTAGTTTTATGACCATGGGCCTGGGCACAAGCGTGGTGTTGGAAGACAAGTTATACATGTACATCCGATATGGTGACTGTTTTTCGCTATTCATATTCTAAATACATTCATAATACCACAACATTTTAGTACTCCTTGAAACTTTACAATCACTTCAATATGTACAATAGATTGAACGAGAACACTTGATATATTGCAGATTATTAAATCATTGTCTCTATTATCAGCCGCTACGTCCGATCGTTTGCATTGTACAAAGAAATATTTTACTGTCCTTTTGCAGATTTAGCCTCAGAATGTGCTCATTCGAATTAGGAACGAAAATAATTGCTTGTCGTGAGTATATATGATACAGTTAAAAGTTACTTGTACACTGTAGACGTATTCACTTTAAAGTCGCATACGACCTTCGCGAGCGAGTTGAATGATCCAGGTTAATTGGAACGAAGTCTAGAAAGGGTTATAAAGTTTTGTATTTGGTAATGTGTAGGTTTGTTAAATATGATTTTTTAAATTCCTTTTATTTCAATTTGTAAAAACATAACTATGCGCTTAAAAACAGAGCTGACTTGATGGGAGATAGCCACCTCAGTTTGTCTGTTGGACACGGTTTAACCTTACTGTGTCCTCACCCTGGTTGTTGTTACCGTTGTTATAAGGGATTAAGAGCTACGGCTCATTGCATTTTTGGTTACAGTCTGTATCACTAAAGTGGACATGTGCAGGTGAACTCTGTTCAATTAGTATATGAAATGCCCCAAAATGTGAACTCCAGACAATAATAACCTGAGGGTAAATCCACGTGCGTCTGCCTTTCCCCTCGTTCACCTTCGAAATCCTTGATTATTATATCATGCCAGAGTTCTGAAATTCAGTGACAATGTTGCTGAACAGTAGAATCTGATGGACGTTTTGTGCAGAACCTGTTTGACACTATGGGTTCCAGGACCACTAACACTCTGAGCTGAAAAAGTTTGGTCCTAACCGCACCCAACATCTACAAGTTTGTAAACTTATAGACATCATTAAGAAGTAATTAACAGTCCCATGCTGAGACCTTTCTCAAAATTCAGACCGGTGGCAGGCTGCCAACAAAGAGAAGAAAATAGCGCAACCCCGACACGAGTGTGCTCAGTCAAACAATGAACTTACGACCGGCAGAACACAACTCCAGTTGAGTATGCCGATGCTGTATCTCAGCCGTGTTGGCCTGAAAATTTAAACATGCTAATTAAATCCAAAATCGTATAATCATTTTTAATAGAAACCGTATCTTAATTTGTTCTTGCACTGCATCATATCGTGTATTTCATCTGTATATGTGTAATGTGTATATGTATCAATGACTACACTTATACCGCATATTCTGCAACAGACTATAATTAATCACCTTATTATTGTCTCTCTATTTACCATGGCTGACTGCACTAATACCCTTTTAACAGTGGACACCGATATCAGTATACATGTAGGCTTTTTGTTCAAAAAGGAATATGCAGGAAATTATATGTAACAATTAACTGTGTACTAATTACATGTTTGAATGTTATCAGTTTTACGTTCTGAGATACAGTGATGTAAGCATCTTCTAAAATCTTCTAAAAATATAATAAAATACAAAACTCTCTGCCGTAATTTTTTTGTGGAAATCATTCGATCAAGTAAAAATGACTGCGTGACAAGACGAATCAACTATTTATACCCGATAAAAGAAACTGCCGTATTTTAGGAACAGTGCTACAACAAGACATTTGAAATTTCTAACAAGCAGATACATTAGAGACAGTGACTAGACTACAGGTACGTAATCCGTATCAATCAAAGGTGTAAAAAAAATGAAAATCATATCTGTAGGAGACCTACCAAATTACCAAGTTTTATCATTACTATATTTATTACAATGCAGATACTTTAGTGATAGATTTTGTAGAGGAGAGGGCATACACACAAGTATATTGCTTCCGTGTGTGAATGCAGGTTGTACTTGGTATCTCAGTTCTCAGTTTCATACCGGTTGTATAACTGAATTTGCATATGGAACCATGCGTACAGCATGACAATTACTTGCTATTCGTCAGTTTACAACACACATAACACGGTCAAACAATTTTAGGCACCGCTTTTGCGAGTTATTTAGTACAATAATGTTTTATTAAAATCTATTTCAATTTGTTTTCACCATTTTCCCTATTGACAGTCGTTGTTACGTGCGTCACTAGGTAATTAGTACGGATTGACCTTGTTTATTGTTTCTATACTTTGAGGATTTCTGTGGCAAGTGGCGGACGTAATTCAAACTCCTTCCGCACTGACACCGCATCAAATATATTTGTGTACCGATTACATAACTCTAATGGACAGGGTGGGTTGGTAGTTCACCGGACGACACTGTGTATATTGGGCGGCTCCTTTGATATCTCCTCCAAACATACGTTTATTGAATGACCCCATTAAACGATGATACACATCTCGATGAATATATCAAGGCACTAATTCATCTTTCATAAACATTTTTTTGTCTTTGTGCTTAATATATCCACATATCAACGAACATTTGTAAAACATGTATCCTAAAAAAAATAAACATTTTCAGGCTAGGTATTTGCCCACAGCAACACCTGCAGAACTGTTTATTCACGCGTGGTGTGGTAGATCGTAATTGACCGAGAGCAGGTATTGTAGAATCACCTGTAAATAAGGCCGACACTGTAATTAGATACAACGTACTAATGAGAATTATCATAAGAAGGCTGTTGTTTTTTCTGAACTGTTACCATTTTCATACCAAAAGTGACAATGCAGTTAAAAGTTGCTTTAGTGTCACAATATTCACTCACGTTTTCCTCAATCGCATTAAAACATAATTCCCACTGGTCAGTTCGGAACCGCATGTAATTAAATAATTATTTCGAGATTTCGTTAGAATGTAAGATATTCAGCCAAACGTTATGCAATAAAAGACGAATAGTTTTTTTCATTAAAATACGCGCACCCGTACCTGTATATTGCATACCTAGTGTCACGTAATTGCCCAGTGTGATGTATCAACGGGACATAAAACGGGAAATGAAATATAAACTAACTAAAATTTAATGTTGTGGAAAACAACTCCAATGAATTGGAGTACACGCACATGAATTCGTATGATAAACTGTCAAAACGTTTTGAGAGGTAAGGCCGGGTTCATTAAAGATTGCTACAATATGTAAAACAGGTGAAATTTGTAGAACTAAAGGAAACATCCAACCAAATGCCCTTTTTAAATAGTAATGTAATGATATAATATAAAGTATATTTCACATGATACAATATACTTTGCAAACAGTTAGTTGATGCTTGAAAGGGACTGACGAAAACATGGGCGAAATATTTTAATAACGCCGTAAAATAGTTGAATTAAGTAAAAATTAGTTAAATATTGTGTCATGATACTTGAATAAATATATTTAATGTATTTGCGAAACAAAAACATGAGTTTTAAGTAAAGGAACATGTTCTCGCCCATGGGCCTGCCCATGGGCCAAACCTTTTCTCGCCCATGGGCGAAATATTTCAATATCGCTATAAAATAGTTGAATTAAGTTAAAATGAGTTAAATTTGGCGTAATGGTACTTGAATGAATACATTAAATGTATTTGCGAAACAAAAACATGAGTTTTAAGTAAAGGAACATATTCTCGCCCATGGGCCTGCCCATGGGCCTACCCATGGGCCTACCCATGGGCCAAACCTTTTCTCGCCCATGGGCGAAATATTTCAATATCGCTATAAAATCGTTGAATTAAGTTAAAATGAGTTAAATTTGGTGTCATGGTACTTGAATGAATACATTAAATGTATTTGCGAAACAAAATCATGAGTTTTAAGTAAAGGAACATATTCTCACCCATGGGCCAAACCTTTTTCTCGCCCATGGGGGAAATATTTCAATATCGCTATAAAATAGTTGAATTAAGTTAAAATGAGTTAAATTTTGTGTCATGATACTTCAATGAATACATTAAATGTATTTGCGAAACAAAAACATGAGTTTTAAGTAAAGGAACATATTCTCGCCCATGGGCCTGCCCATGGGCCTACCCATGGGCCAGACTTCGCCCATGGGCAGGCCCATGGGCGACATAGTCTAAATATTGAGTTTTTAAACAATTTTTTTTTCATTTTTTCTTCCTTGGTATGTTCCCATGAAAACGGCATGTTTAATTTTGTAAATACCTTTAACCGAGACTGGGGAAAGAGCGTAGAGTTTCTGGACTTTTGGGTTTCCAGAATTAAAATGGGACGTGTTAATTATGCAAATGATTAACCTTTGGCGTCCAGGTGATATTCGAAGGCCAGGTGATCGCGTGCATAGTAGGAGAGTCACAACAGGCGGCTCGGAGGGCAGCCAAGAAGGTCAAGGTTGAATACGAGGAACTGACACCAGTAATTACAATAAAGGTATGCAAAAGTAGAAGGAATTGGAAAATATAACTCTTCTCTTATACGGAATAAGTATTTAAATATTAGACTGTTTTAAGTCAGGACAGAAACGTTCCAAGTGAATCAAATTTCCTGGTAAACGAATCATTGTTACGGTATTCATTTCTAATGGCGCTTCAAGTATTCAGTGACAATATTGAGGATTCTGAAGCTAAGAGTGATTATTGTTATTGCGCCGCTTTTAGCAATATCCCAGCACCATCATGGCGGGGGACACCAGAAATGGTCTTCCCGGTATCTGACTTGGGCCATCGACATGACGAGCGAACGTTTTACCAACTAGGGTGAAGACAAGAAATATCGCATACGTCTCTTAGATAAGATTCCCTGTATTGATCATGAATCCCAAAATATAAACAAGATGGCGAAAAGGGTAAATCAAGTGAATATGTGTTCATATAATTGTAGGAAGCCATTGAGGCCAATTCCTTCTTCGGACCTGAGGTAACACTCGAAACTGGTGACCTGGAAGAAGGATTCGGGGGATCCGATCATGTCATTGGAGGAGAGCTTCATATTGGGCCTCAGGAACATTTCTACCTGGAGACTCAAGTGGCCGCAGCGAGACCCACCAATGAGGATGGAGGAATAGAGGTCATCTCTAACACACAGTTTCCGTCGGGGACTCAGGTATACATTGCAATTTCTGGCCGTTTTTAGCATTTTTGATTAGGCATGTAGTTATTCATATGTATATTTGGTTTAGACGTGTAGAGATTAAAGATACATCGACGGGTGTATTATATTTGTAGATTATAGATAATCATGTATATGTAGATGTGTACAATATAAATAAAATATACATATTTAGGTAATGTATAGGCTTGTGTTGTCTCCCATCACAGCACAAAGTTGCAGCAGCACTCAACATCCCGGCAAACCGAGTAGTGTCGAGAGTGAAGCGTTTAGGTTTGTATACCCTCATAATATCACTTCATCTCCGACTTTTAGTCAATAGTTGTATATATCTTTGAGCAATATATCGCCAGTATACAATACCTAAATAGCCAATATTTACACTAAGTATCTCTAGGCAACAGGCTCAGGGGTCTTTCATCCAAATATTCAATGTCGGCAAAGACGATGCAATGAGTCTCATACATTGTTCTCTTGTAATAATGGTAATCATTAACTGGCATACTATTGTACATGGTAAAATCTAATTTGCTGGGATTGTTAATTTGATCGAGCCTGCCCATTCATATATACTGAACCGCAAAAGAAACGTCACCCCAAGTAACATTGCATGAAAAGTTGTCATTTAAATATCTTGGTAATTTTTGTTAAAGTTTCTAAAACTTAAGATTACTTTGTCCGGAAAAATGAAATTTGATGAAGCAGATGACAATAAAACCGATCGCCTGAAACGCATCATTGCAACGGCCATGGTTACCCGATGCACGTGAGTTCCGTGCAAATTGAAATGCACATGCGTTCCCCCATTTCTTGCCCTATAAAAATCCACCCAGATCGGATAACATTCATTCGTTATTGAATTGCTACCACATGCCAAGACTGACAAGAAATCAGCGACACCAAGCCCTTGGATGATTGCAAGCTGGGCAAACCGCCCGGCAAGTAGCCAATGCATTTCAAGTTCACGGAAGGACCATATACAGGCTACAGCAACGGTACCAGATACTACAGATACTACAGATGGCCGACCACTTAGTGGAAGATCAAGGGTCACCACCCGACGTCAGGATCGTCAGATTGTGCGAAAGCATCTTCAAAATCGCTTTGTTACTGCTGTGGAAACTGCTCGACAGACCATGGGGACACACCAGCGAATCTTCGAACGCCGTGGGGAACATTATTCGGATGCTGCTTGTATTGTTGAGAGAACTCGTGGGTTGGTCCGAGCATCATGGTGTGGGGTGGAATTGGTCTTGCACAGAGGGTCAGCCCTGTGGTCTTCCAGAACATCGGTCCAGGGAGAGGCAATGGTGTCACAGCAGCTCGGTACATTGATCAAGTCTTGAGACCAGACACCATACCTCATTTGGCACGTCGCCGCAACCACGAGTTTCAGCATGATAACTCCCGTGCCCACACGGCGAGAGCAACAAGAGACTTCCTCCAACAGAATGGCATCAGAGCCATGTAGTGGCTTGCCCTCAGTCCCGATTTAAATCTCACCAAGCACCTGTGGGACGAGATTCAAGGACGGCTGAATGACGTCCGACCAAGGCCGACAACTGCAGCTGAACCGCGTTGCGAGTTTCCCAGGGTGTGGGCTCAAGTACATATGGCCTTTATCAACCGCCTCATCCATTCCATGTATCGACGTTGCACGGCAGCATCAGTGCACATGGCGGACACACGAGATACTGACTTGTGATGCCATTTTCTCAGAGACTAGTGCTGTGTTTCACTTTAAGAACATTTGACACTTTAATTTTAATCTTGATGATCAGTTTTGCCAAGTTTCATCTTTTTAATATGTTTCAAAGTATGTTTACAATAAGGTTTCTCATATATCTATCCATGGTGACGTTTCTTTTGCGGTTCACTCGATATCAACACTCTTCCCCCTATGTATTTGATGCAGGGGGTGGATTTGGAGGCAAGGAGGGTAAGACGAATATGGTAGCTCTCCCAGTAGCGGTAGCAGCAGCAAAGTAAGACCAAGATGTATTTGTAATTCATGCCTCGAAAACATTTTATTACATCCTCTTATAACACATTATTTTACATTAATGACAATTATATGTAAAACTGATGTATGTAAAGGACTTAAATGGTGTTTCAGCAACGACAAACATTTAAATGTAGAATGCTTTTTCAAAATGTTATATTATTCTGCGTTACCATCCAAACCAGACCCGTCGAAATATTTGAATCAATGAACAGTAAGATCAGATTATCAGAGAGCCGTTATACACGTTATGCATATTATGTCATACTGAACCTACGAACTGTTTAATGGGTTCATCAGATATTCTGTGTGTCAACGCGCAGATTAAACCGCCCAGTCCGGTGCATGTTGGAGCGAGACGAGGACATGGTGCTGACAGGGGGGAGGCACGCCTATTTGGCCAAATACAAGGTCAGGAGGAGGTCACTGTGAAACTCCTGGTTTGGGCGTTTTGCTATCTCACAATATTGCAGTAAACAACATTTCCTTTACCCGCATTTTTGTTTGTACTTGCAGAAAGTATGTGAAAATCAAATAATATAATAACCGCTGCCTGAGCTCTGTCCTGTTAACAGCTGGTGACTGTCACAGTCCGCAGGATCGCAGGTCGATTTTGGCGAAGTTTAGACAATACGCTCAGGATGCAAACGTTGTTTCTATTATACCAACCAGACACCCTAGTTGTTTGTTTATAGCTATATGATACTGCTTTGTGTCAAGCGGGGCAGTGGGTGAACATGTCTAGAATGTCTGTTGAACAGACGTTGCTGACCTGCTGATAGTCTTATTAAATAACAAGAGTCTCCTAGACCATTTTCATCCTCTATATCTCAAGGGTTAGCCTTTCGGTAAACCTTCCCGTGGGTCTTGCAATCTCAAAACTCGTACCTTGACTTCCATTGGCAAATATGATTGGCTACGCTACGAGGTCTAACGGACCATTCAGAATGCGAGTTACAAACCAGCCTCAATATTGGATTGGTCAGTCCCATTAAATATGATCAAGTTTGCGAGAAATTGAAAAACTGACTGACACGCAAATGAAAGCCATCAAAAATCTCTTTGATGGAAAGGATATCTTCATGGGCGGTGACTTTGGTTTCTAGGTAATACGAATTACCTCCCTTACCGTTTCCCTTATGTCGACGTTTGATTGGTCGGTAAACTGTTAATGAAAATCAATGGCGGGTATTTTACGATTGCAAGAACCACGGGAATTGATCCAGGTCCTAGTGAAGGTTTACCGAAATGCTAGCCATGGAGATATAGAGATGGGCCATTGCACTGTAGAATACTGATTCATGAAAGTATGGTATTCCGATATTATTAGGGCGCACTGGTGGCCCAGTCGTCTAAGGCGCCGCGATTTGCTGTGCAGAGGTGGGTCCCTTGGGCACGCCAGGAATCTATGTGGGTTCGAATCCCGGTTCGCCCCGATTATGTTTCTAGGTTTGTCTGCACCATACCCGTGCTCGTAGGTTTAACCGAAGTGGTAAACGTCTGAGACTTGCATCACTTCGGGCGTTCCTCCCACATTAAGCTGACACGCCGTGATATAACTGCAATAATGTTAAAAGCGGAGTTAAACACAACTCACTCACTTACATTATTGTGCTATTTTTACACCACCGTTTTATGCACATATAGAATTCCACTGTGACGCATTTAGGTCACGTGTTACTTAAGGTCTTTCAGTCTTTGAGCATCGATCGATGGCTTCCTATAAGTATTACATCTTATCGGTTTATTTTAACTCTTGTTATTCAGTCGATGGGTCGTGTAAGGCTTTGCTCGCATTTGATAAGGTATCCTCCCTTTAGGTTGGATTCACGAAGACTGGACTGATCAAGGCTCTCGAGGTCAATCTCTTCTCAAATGCCGGCTGCACTATTGATCTGTCACATCAAGTAAGCTATGTTGAGAACAGTGTTAGTTGTGTTGTTAGTCTGAAAACGCCCCAGTTCCATATCCAGAGATTCTAATATTATTATTGCAACTGGTTATTGATATAATTGTGAACACTGATTTTTGTCATGACTGGACTTACACTTTGCATATTAATGGTCTTGCAGCTGGAAAAAGCAAAAGAAACTATACTTCTCAGTTGATTTTATCATATTTTTTATTTTCAGTAGTTGTTGAAAAATATATGAAGTTACCGATATTATACTTAAAAAATATGAACTGCCCTGGCCCTTCGTTAACACCCAAAGAATACTTCTACGCCATTTTATTCTTTTTTCTTTAAAATATATTTTGATTTAAAACTTTTAAAACCTACTGATCCGTATCTTAGACATTTTGTTTCACCACAAAATTACATTTCAAACATGGTGGGGGTCATGTGGTCATTGGACCAGTTTTTTACACGAACTGACCCAGCTACGGATTACTTTTTACAAACTGTATAGTGCAGGAATGAGTGATGGTTTGATAGACAGTCAAATTTTACAACAGTTCTTTCAGTTTTCAATTTCATAAAAAACAAACTCGGTATACTTTCTTTTGCCCCTCACTGTAGTAAGGACGTTCCTTCAAGGACATGATAAGCGATAACACCAAATTCAAAAGAAGTTATTTGGAAATGTCTAATTCATAATAATATTCTATTATGTTCTTTGATAAAAGTGGTAATAAAAAAACATGATGTGATCATGTGAAAGTTTAATGTGTGAAGCAACATATTTAAAATGATCGTGAATGATTTCGTTCTTAAGCTGCTTTGAACATTTTGTTCGGCATGTCAGCTTGATCATGATTTGGAGGCAAAGCCTCAAGTGATGCAGGTTTGCGCGAGTAAATATGAATATAATGAACACTGTATATTCCTACCCGTAGGTGATGGGCCGTTCTCTGTACTCCAGCGACAACGCTTACAACATCCCCAATATCAAGGTGACGGGGCATGTGTGTAAAACTAACACTGCCTCAGCCACAGCATTCCGGGGTTTTGGTACTCCCCAGGCGATGTTGGTGACGGAGACGTGGATGGATGCTGTGGCGGACGTCGTCGGGAGATCGGCTGTTGAGGTACCGTATTTCTTTGCTAAAGGGGGCGGTCGGGTAGCCTAGTGGTTAAAGCGTTCGCTCGTCACGCCAAAGACCCGGGTTCGATTCCCGACATGGATACAATGTGTCAAGCCCATTTCTGGTGTCCCCCGCCGTGATATTGCTGGAATATTGCTAAAACCATACTCACTCACTCACTCACTCTTTGCTAAAGATAACTTAATGAATAATCTACATTATTTCTGTATAGATTGTACGGTATAATTTTGCATTTGCTTGTTGGTGAAATTGTAAGTATATTTATTACATGATTTGAGCGCGCCATGTAAGAACCAATGTAATTTTCATACCATGAATTTGTGATTTCACTAGTTCATTTCTCTAATTAAGATATTTTCGACACTCACAAGGTACGAGAAATAAATCTGTACAGGGAGGGTGAGATGACCTACTATGGAATGGAGGTCAAGGACGCCAATGTCAGGAGCATGTGGGATCAATGTATCAGCCAATCAGATTACGTCGTTAGACGGAACCACGTGGACGACTATAACAGGTGTGTTAAACATACATTTAGGAGTTCTTTAATAATAACTGTAACTGTAACCAGTTGTCACTGGTTAAATCAGTTCTAACGTGTGGTTAAATTAACATTCCATTCGGCATTACATATTTGGCATGGAATGTTCAAGAACCTTCCCTATGAGACTCAGTAAAAATAAGGTTTACATTATGTCAAACATGGACAAAATATTTCTGTTATTTTTTCAGTTTTATTTTGTCTGAATATATTAACTAAATGTTGTTTGACACATGTATTGAATGTATATAAGCAAACATCGCTGGAAGAAGAGAGGGCTGGCGCTAATACCTACCCAGTACGGAATGTCGTTTTCAGCTCCCATCAATCATCTGAACCAGGTGTGTAAGTGTTGCATATGGGAGTGAGTGAGTGAGTGAGTTGGGGTGTATAGCTGCTTTGAAAAGTGTTTCAATTCTGTCATGATGTGTCACGGCAGATTTATGTGGGAGGAAAGACCAGAGTGACGCAGGTGTTTTTATACACATGAACGCCAGTATTGGTGGCGTAACAAGAATGGTTTTATTCAAAATTAAATCTGATAATTATTATTATTATTATTGTAGCCAGGACTAAAGAATTGACCGCCTCCGTGGTCTAGTGGTAGAGCCCCCGCCCGGAGAGCGGAAGGTCCGGGGTTCGATCCCCGTTCGCGTCATACCAAAAGTCTTTAAAAGATGGTACTTGTTGTTACCCTGTCTGGCGCTCGGCATTAAGGGGCTAAAACAAGGACTGGTCGGCTAGGAGTCAGTATACTGTGTCTGAGTGGGGTATTTATGTTAAACTCCGGCATGGTATCTCAGTGAGCTAGCACTATAAATCGGCACCAGTCCGGACTAGTACAAGCAGCCACACAGCCACACAGCCACACTGCCACACAAACACACACACACGTCTATTGGTTGGATTAAGGGACGAACATTGTATATTCGGATGGGTAGGTTATACTGGTTGTTTAAAAAATAGAATTTGTTCAATAACATGCACTCATATAAAGGAGGTCGGGGGGTTTGATACCCGGCCGTGTTATACCAAAAGACGTTACAAGATTGTACTTGTTGTTACCCTGCCTGGCGCTCGGAATAAAAGGCCTAAAACAAGGACTGGTCGGCTCGGGGTCAGTATAATTTGTCTGAGTGAGGTTTTCATGTTAAAACTGTGGCATGGTATCACAGTGGGCTAGCACTATAAAAAAAGAGACAACGCACGCACGTCGCTTTCTGAGTGCAATCATCTTGATCGCGACGTTACACCCTACCCTTATATAAATAATTATCATTTGAGAAGTCATCTCCATATTTTTAATATTTTTTTAACCTTGTGTTCCAGGCATGTGCTCTAGTGACGGCCTACATGGATGGTTCGGTGCTGCTTGCCCACTGTGGAGTTGAGATGGGACAAGGACTGCACACGAAGATGAAACAGGTGAGCTACAGCATGTGCAGCTGGCATTGAGTGTGTGTGCATGTTAGATTATGCATACTAAACATATACCGTATTCGCCGTAATAAGCGCCCCGCTCTAAAAAGCGCCCACGGCGATATTTGCTAATACTAGTGAACTATCCCAAATAGCACCCCTTCCGATTGAGCAATGTATACAAGACTTATTTATTCGCGTTTAATATGCACTCGTATGTTATATGCAACCTTAATTCTGGGAAAAATATATATGTCGTACATAAACATTTCAGGCTGTCAGCATAAACCACGAAATTTATCTTTTTCACCAAAAAAATATTCTAATAAGAGCCCCCTATTTCTAAGTTTGAGAGCGCCCTGTTAACTTTTTACGTCGAATACGGTATTTGAAGACAGTACCACGGATAGACGGCCTTTCAGTTGTCATTTGGAAGGCAAGCAAAATTTAAGTGAGCATCTTGCAGGTGGCTAGCCGCGCACTGGGGGTCCCCGTGGAGAACATCTACACACAGGACGTGTGTACTGACAAAATCCACTTCACAAGTGCCACTGCTGCCAGCACTGGATCTGATCTCAATGGGGGCGCTGTTAAGGTATTGTGGCATGACTTCATCATGTATCAAGATGTTGTAATTTCCCTCCTCCGTGGTCCAGTGACAGAGCGTCCGCACGGAGAGCGGAAGGTCCGGGGTTCGATCTCCGGCCGCGCCATACCAAAAGACGTTAAAAGATAATACTTGTTGTTACCCTGTCTGGCCCTCGGCATTAAGGGACTTAAACATGTACAAGGACTGGTCGGCTCGGAGTTAGTATGCTGTGTCTGAGTGAGGTTTTAATATTACACCTCGGCATGGTTTCTCCGTGGGCTAGCAATATCGAATCGGCATTAGTCAGACTATAGTACAAGCAGCCACAGACACACAGACACACAGACACCCCCACCCCCATACACAGACAGACACAGACAGACAGACACAGACAGACAGACACAGACAGACAGACACAGACAGACAGACACAGACAGACAGACAGACAGACAGACAGACAGACAGACAGATAGACACAGACAGATAGACACAGACAGACAGACACAGACAGACAGACACAGACAGAGAGACACAGACACAGACAGACAGACATACAGACAGACACACACACACACACACACACACACACACACACACACACAATATCTATGTTTAGCATATTGACAGTAGAACATTGTCATAGTCTTTATTTATTGTTTGACGCCACACTGCGGCATATTATAGCCTGTCGCCGGGTTCGACCAGCATGGGTAGCGGGGATCTATCCTAACCCGGAATCCCAACGTAGTGACATTATTGTTCATCCTCGTTTTTCAGAACGCCTGTGAGATTCTCTCCAAGAGACTGCAGCCCTACAGGGACGCCAACCCGAAAGGGACGTTGAAGGATTGGGTGAGCGTCCATACCCATGATGACGTGATAGCGACCACTCTTCACATGCATGATCATAACAAGGAGCGGTGGTAAAATACTGACTCAGAGCTCTACCAATGTTTCCTAGGGCTTTCCTCCCACAAACACTCACTCATTCACTCACACGCTACCGACTGTGGTTTGACGGCTCCTAGGGTGTACATCTCCACGGGTAACTTTGCAATATATGATTGGCTGACAGTTAAGGTCAAAAGATCATGAAAACTTATGACGCGATTTCAATACGCCCAAGGGACGCAACTCTGCATAGCGAATTGCGGCGCCTCAGACGACGGGCCAGACATGCCCAAATAACAACATATCATAACCGTATTCGAATTCATTACAAACACTCGTAACACGTATGATTGGCTCAGAGTGATTATTATTTTAGGACTAGTTCTACGGTTGGAACAATTGTGATAAAATCTATTAAAGACAACTGCAAAAATCGCAAGAAATTACTTCATACCAAAACTAATAAATACCTTATGTTATGATGAATCGTAGATGCATTTATAAAGCCGTCGCCTACTGTCGAATGTCATGGTGAATATCAAGGGCATTCAGAAAATGCTGACAATAATGTATTGGAAATATTATACATGTTTTTGTGTTTATGTATTTGTGGTACCTCATGCATACAATGTTTGTGTCAATGTAATTGTTAGTAATTTCTCCAATGCTCATGAGAACGATAGCCTGATATATTTTGATAAAAGTTAATATCAATTATGATTCATCAGTTGAAGTATATTTCTGTGATATTTCAGGTAACAGCCGCATACTTCGATCGGATACATTTGTCAGCAGCGGGATTTTACAGGTGCTTCCCGAACTCCTGTCCTTTCTGAGCTTTTTATTTGGTTCAAGTGAATGAGTAAGTGAGTTGGGTGTCACGCCGCTTTTAGCAATATTCCAGCAATATAACGGCAGGTGGCACCAGTAATGGGCTTCACACATTTTGTGACCCATGTGGGGAATTGGACCCGGGTCTTCGATCTGACTAGCGAACGCTTTAACCACTAGGGCTACCCAGTGCACTGTTCGAATCCCGGTTCGCCCCGATTATGTTTCTAGATTTTGAGCACCATACCCGTGCTCTTGGTTTAACCGAAGTGGTAAACGTCCGTGACGTGCATCACTTCGGGCTTTCCTCCCACATTAAGCTGAGACGCCGCGATATAACTGGAATACTGTTAAAAGCGGCGTTAAACCCAACTCACTCACTCACTCTCAACACAAGAAGTTTTACAGGTAAAATGTACATAAGCTTCGCGAAACGATGAAATGTATATACATCAAGCTGTTACTAACGGTGACTACCTAACACTTGTCCCTTTTCATCTCATAGGTTGAATACTGTTAAAAGCAGCGTTAAGCCCAACTCCCTCACTCACTCACTCACGCACTCACTCCTTCGAGCACTGAGATTTAACCATTTTGGCTTCATTATATTAACGTCGTTTGGCCATCTTTTAATTCAAAATTAATATGAGAGTAAATGTGCTTAAATATGCATAAAATCTTTCAAACGAAGTGAGACACAGAAACATTGTTTAATAAAGCTATTGCTGGATAAAAACACCATGAAATATTGATAATTTCCAATGTGTAAAGAATGACGAACAAAATTTATCAAAATATGTATATACGTTCGAGTTGTAGATTTTTATTCACGTTGACACATGCCATGACATAGATTAAGTCTTGTTTCGCTGAATTATGTAAGCCAAAGGTTTCATAATAATCACTTCGGTTTCACCTATATTATCTGTCCATGATTAAATCAAGCACAGCTTGGGTTGCACGGTCAATCAACCACTTCGTGGTCATGAATACTCCAGAACAGAAGTAGTAGACCACCACAATATTCTCCAGAGGTTTGTATTCAGTGAGGATCCTTAGCGTCAGGCGGCACAGTGGTTCGAGCGTTGTCCCGGTACGCACAACCCCGGGTTCGTTTCTCCTTAAGAGTTCGCGAAGCAGATCCATGTATCCTTATATTGAATGTAGTCTGTTCTACTCAAATATTTACAAATCCAGAGGAGAAGAGTTGGAAGTGGATCCTGCAACAGGGAAGGGCCGCTACTACAGCTACTTTACGACTGGTGTAGCATGTTCTGAAGTGGAGATCGACTGTCTCACGGGAGACCATCAGGTTACATGACACGATCAGTGATTAATAAACATAAACATATTGATAATGTTCATTCAGATGCAACTGAACTGACGTACTATATTCACGAATCATTCGTTGTAGTTGACCGAAATAGAACGGAGAATGGGTACCCGTGAAGATCCGGGTTAGAATAGGTCTTCAGCAACCCATGCTTGTTGTAAGGGGCGACTACCGGGATCGGGTGGTCACACTCGCTGACTTGGTTGATCAATATCATCGTTTCCCAATTTCGTGGATCGATGCACATGATCTGAATTACTGGATTGTCTGGTCCAAACTCGATTATTTACAGACCGCCGTCATATAGATGGAATATTGCTGAGTGCGGCGTTAAACAACAAAGAAACAAACAAGCAAACAAGAACGGAGAATGGACTGTAATATATCAGTAATATAACATGGTGATCTGTCACCCAATGGGTGATAGTATGAGCATCTCTCATACTGCCAGGCATGCGAATACACAGTGGCATCCAGAGAAAAATCTCATCACTCTTGGTTTTGTCAAATGGCGTCCTTCAACAGTGAGAAGCAGTACTCTGCAGATGTCTTAAAATTAAGCTACTATGGGCCCATGTAATATCACTTAAGAAGAGCGGAGAGTTTTACCTATATACAATGATTGTATTTTAGATTTTACGGACTGACATTGTGATGGACGTGGGCAAGAGTCTCAATCCCACCCTAGATATTGGTCAGATAGAAGGGGCATTTATGCAGGTACGTACATGAACACCGTGATGTGATGTGCAATTGTAGGATCCAGAATATCAGACTGCGCCAACAGAATTACGCCACTTCTTTCTTGTAAAATTGAAAAAGCATGGTTCTTTAATGCTTACATGGTAAATGATAAATGCACACATAACGACCTGGAAACGTAAAAGAGGAGTGAGTGAGTTGGATTTAACGCCGCTTTGAACAATATTCAGTCGATCTGCGAGGAAGGCCCAAAGTCGTACACGTCTCAGAATATGGTGGACAAGCCTTGCAACATAAATGGGGTGGGATTGTGTCTTGCGTGTCTTAAGGATGCAATTCTGCACAGCGAATTGCGACGCCTTTGACGACTGGGCCACCCGTGGTCTCCTTGAAAGAGGAAGGCTTTAAAGTCAGATAGAGGTTAACGTCCCTTATGTTTCCTGTCGTGTTTTATGCCTGATTGGGTGAGGAACCATGGCAAACGTTCAGCGAAATACACTCTAGACAAAGAGTACACATGTGTTTCAATAGTATCTAAGCAGTTGACGCCTGTTTCCCAGGGATATGGGCTGTTCTGTTTAGAACAACACAAGACCACGCCCTCGGGGAGCATTCTGACACGGGGACCAGGGACCTACAAAATCCCCAGTTTCAAGAACATTCCGATAAAGTTCAACGTCAGTCTACTCAAGGAAAGCTGCAACCCTAAGGCCATCTACTCGTCAAAGGTTTGTGATTAGATACTACCAATAAACAGGATTATATGATAATATATTGCTTTGTGCATTAACATTATGCAATAAATCTATGTTTTGGATTATTTGTTTGTGGTTTAACGCCGCACTCAGCAATATGATGGCGGTCTGTAAATAATGAAATCTGGACCAGACAATCCAGTGATACGGAATTGGGATACGATGACATGCATCAACAAAGTCAGAGAGTCTGACCATCCGATCCCGTCAGTCGCCTCTCACGACAAGCATGCATACAGATTGCTGAAAACCAATTCTAATCCGAATCTTCACAGGGTCTATTTTCTAATAATCGGACGTCACAGTAAAATTCATGTAGATGTTCGCAACAACACAAGCATGTTTTTATCTACTGCGTATATGTAACTAGAACCAATATACCTGACATATCCAGTACCTAGTTGCAAAGATTACTGCCATGAAAACTTAACTATTGATAGTTCTCTGGAACATTTGCTCGGTCATGGTGCCAATAGGTTTGTGATCACTCAAATCGGAATACTTTTATAGGGCATCGGTGAACCTCCTCTGTTCCTGGCGTCGTCGGTGTTTTTTGCCGTCAAGGACGCCATCAAGTCGGCGCGAGAGGACGCAGGGGAGAGCCGTTGGTTCCGTTTGGACAGTCCGGCCACGCCCGAGAGGATCCGGATGGCATGCCAGGATCAGTTCACCAAACAGGTGAGACAAGTGAACTCTACACATTTATGCCTTTGTAGAGCAAATATTAATATATGAATATTAATACTAGCATTAGAGACACTCTGGTCCAGGGATCTACTTTTGTTTGTTTGTTTGTTTAATGCTGCACAATATTCCAGCTATATTACGGCGGCGCGTAAATAATCAAGTATCGAACAGATAATCCAGTGATTGATGTTATGAGCAAAGATCCACGCAGTCGGGGTACGATGACACGCAATCAGCAAAGTTAGCGAGTCTGGCCACCAGATCCCTTTGGTCGCCTCTTACGATCAGCAAGGTTGCTGGGGATCACTTCGTACCCGGAATCCCCACGGGGTCGAGGGATCACAGACATATGCAGGGCTGTATCGTGCCAGGACGCTCTTAGTATTATCCGAGTTTTACTCTCCCTTTCCTTCCAGTTTGCCCCTGCCGAGGAAGGGACGTTCAAACCATGGTACGTGGAGCTGTGAGGAACCAGGAACACCAGGACTCAACTATCATTAAATATATATGAATGCTGCATAGATGCGTAATAACACTGCACATTGGAGGTTTCGATAACAACCTACACGGAAAACAATGGCTTGGATGTTGATTTTACGCTATGTGTGTGAATGAGTATGGTTTTACGCCACTTTTAGCAACATTCCAGCAATATCACGGCGGGGGACACAAGAAATGGGCTTCACACATTGTACACAGGTCGGGAATCAAACCCGGGTCTTCGGCGTGACGAGCGAACGCTTTACCCACTTGACTACCCGACCGCCCCTTTGCCCTATGTAATCATGTTAATGTTTTGTGCGAGGACAAACACTGGTGGCTTAATGATGGCATAGCGAATATTAATATCAGTTATGTACGATGACTAATACGCATGGTTATGGGACTTATATATACACGATTATCAAAACATGGCTATAGTGAGTTGGTGAGCTTGGTTTTACGCCGCTTTTAGCAATATTCCAGCAATATCACGGCGGGGGACACCAGAAATGGGCTTCACACATTGTACCCATGTCGGGATTCGAACCCGGGTCTTCGGCGTGACGAGCAAACGCTTTAACCACTAGGCTACCCAGCCGCCCCAAACATGGCTACAACCCAATGAAACGTAACCTGGATACAAAAACAATAAATGTTCGGAGGTATCGAAAATAAACTTTCCCAATATCAATATTGTTAAATGCGTTTTTTGATTATGTGAGTGAATGTTGTGTACTGCCGCTGTCATCAATTGTTTACATGTGTCTCGGCGACTCGTGAATGGTCGTGTCAGGACCGAGCGCATCAGTACACGAAAACAGTGACCCACGCCATTGGGTACCAGGACATTCAACCTTGCAAGCGAAAGTGCCTGACAAACTGATCCCGAATAGCAAGAGAAATGAACATGACATTCGATGGCGAGAACGTACATGTACCTTTAACGTTAAACCTTAAAGGCTGGAGCTGCTGGAATATTGTTTGAAAAAAGGATATTTGACTGTTGCAAAGTTGAAGTCATCGCACTTTTCATACAGTTTTGTAGGCATTTTTTCATCACTTTGAATCTTTATGCATGATAGATCTGAGTATGAAACAAGTCCTGATATGCTTAGTTGAAACATGGGGCACGGGTGGCCCAGTCGTCTAAGGCGCCGCGATTCGCTGCGCAGTGTTGCGTCCCTTGGGCACACCAGAAACCTATGATTGTGGGCTCGAATCCCGGTTCGCCCCGATTATGTTTCTAGGTTTGTCAGCACCATACCCGTACTCGTGGGTTTCACCGAAGTGGTAAACGTCGGAGACCTGCATCACTTTGGGCTTTCCTCCCACATTTAGCTGACACGCCGTGATATAACTGGAATACTGTCAAAATCTCACTTACTCACTCACTTACATGTAGTTAACATACAACATTGCATGAGTGACTAGTGAAATTCCACACAAAATTGAAGATGTGCTCACTGGAAAAACAGGTTTGAATGGGGATTTATTTTTGCAGTAGGTGTTATCTTTCGACGGTCGGCCAAATAAGGCTGTAACGAACTATCTTGTTACAAAAAAGATTGTGTGTGTTAACCACATTATGTGCACGGAGCAACTAGACCTCATATATCGGATATACATTTAAAAGGAGCAGTTTCAAATTTCTATGTCGCCATGTTCAAGCCTTGGACTCCACAAATGTTTAACTGAGCGTGTCATGGACTCGGAAAATATAGTTAGAGCCAGGTACGTGAATACTTTTTATTATTATTTGCTGATATTATTATTAAGCTACATGTAATCAGATAGGCAAAACAGCAAAGACCGGCGGAATAAAAAACTCCTCTGCCATTGGTTGATAATTTGTAGGTTGTTGAACATCATTCACAATCTAAATGCCTGACTCACAAATCCACAAAGTATTTCGGATACTTTTCAAAAGCGTTTGGCTATTAAAGGGATAACGTTTGTGTGCTATATTCTACGTCCCTTGAATGCTGAATTGGTGTTGGGGGCCTAAAAGATAAAAAGGGGGAGAAAAAGGCAGCGTATTGTCCTCTCTGTGAAATAGCCTTTCGACAAAATGCAGCGCGGGTATTTTTATGAAACAGAGCATTCACACCTTTGTTTATGAGGACGGGATGACATATTTTCAATTATGCGAATGTTGATACGAAAACCTTCTTTGTTTGCTAGCGGAACGGCAATTGAAGATCGGTGGTATGTGAGAAACAATGTACAGGTAGATGGTGACCTACACAAGTTAAAGGGACGCGGTAGCCTAAATAATGTACATGGACATGGTGGCCTAAATAATGTACAATGACGTGGCAGCCTAGACAATCTACAGGGAAGTGGTAGCCGATAGAATGTACGGGGACTTGGTAACTTCGACAATGTACAGAGACGTGGGAGCTTAAATAATGTGCAGGGCGTGGTAGCCGGTGAAATTTACAGGGTGGGAGTAGCCGGTGCAATTTACAGGGTGGGAGTAGCCGATGAAATTTACAGGGACGTGGTAGCCAATACAATTTACAGGGACGTGGTAGCCAATACAATTTACAGGGACGTGGTAGCCAATACAATTTACAGGGACGTGGCAGCCGACACAGTTTACCGGGAGGTGGTAGCGGATACAGTTTACAGGGAGGTGATAGCGGATACAGTTTACAGGGAGGTGGTAGCGGATACAGTTTACAGGGAGGTGGTAGCGGATACAGTTTACAGGGAGGTGGTAGCGGATACAGTTTACAGGGAGGTGGTAGCCGATACAGTTTACAGGGAGGTGGTAGCCGATACAGTTTACAGGGAGGTGGTAGCCGATAAAGTTTACAGGGAGGTGGTAGCCGATACAGTTTACAGGGAGGTGGTAGCCGATACAATTTACAGGGAGGTGGTAGCGGATACAGTTTACAGGGAGGTGGTAGCGGATACAGTTTACAGGGAGGTGGTAGCGGATACAGTTTACAGGGAGGTGGTAGCAGATACAGTTTACAGGGAGGTGGTAGCGGATTCAGTTTACAGGGAGGTGGTAGCCGATACAGTTTACAGGGAGGTGGTAGCCGACACAGTTTACAGGGAGGTGGTAGTCAACACAGTTTACAGGAAGGTGGTAGCCGATACAGTTTACAGGGACGTGGTAGCGGATTCAGTTTACAGGGAGGTGGTAGCCGATACAGTTTACATGGAGGTGGTAGCCGATACAGTTTACAGGGAGGTGGTAGCGGATACAGTTTACAGGGAGGTGGTAGCCGATACAGTTTACAGGGAGGTGGTAGCCGATACAGTTTACAGGGAGGTGGTAGCGGATACAGTTTACAGGGAGGTGGTAGTCAACACAGTTTACAGGGAGGTGGTAGCCGATACAGTTTACAGGGAGGTGGTAGCCGATACAGTTTACAGGGAGGTGGTAGCGGATACAGTTTACAGGGAGGTGGTAGCGGATACAGTTTACAGGGAGGTGGTAGCGGATACAGTTTACAGGGAGGTGGTAACGGATTCAGTTTACAGGGAGGTGGTAGCGGATACAATGTACAGGGAGGTGGTAGCCGATACAGTTTACAGGGAGGTGGTAGCGGATTCAGTTTACAGGGAGGTGGTAGCGGATACAGTTTACAGGGAGGTGGTAGCCGATACAGTTTACAGGGAGGTGGTAGCCGATACAGTTTACAGGGAGGTGGTAGAGGATACAGTTTACAGGGAGGTGGTAGCGGATACAGTTTACAGGGAGGTGGTAGCGGATACAGTTTACAGGGAGGCGGTAGCCGATACAGTTTACAGGGAGGTGGTAGCGGATACAGTTTACAGGGAGGTGGAAGCGGATACAGTTTACAGGGAGGTGGTAGCCGATACAGTTTACAGGGAGGTGGTAGCGGATACAGTTTACAGGGAGGTGGTAGCAGATACAGTTTACAGGGAGGTGGTAGCGGATTCAGTTTACAGGGAGGTGGTAGCCGATACAGTTTACAGGGAGGTGGTAGCCGACACAGTTTACAGGGAGGTGGTAGTCAACACAGTTTACAGGAAGGTGGTAGCCGATACAGTTTACAGGGACGTGGTAGCGGATTCAGTTTACAGGGAGGTGGTAGCCGATACAGTTTACATGGAGGTGGTAGCCGATACAGTTTACAGGGAGGTGGTAGCGGATACAGTTTACAGGGAGGTGGTAGCCGATACAGTTTACAGGGAGGTGGTAGCGGATACAGTTTACAGGGAGGTGGTAGTCAACACAGTTTACAGGGAGGTGGTAGCCGATACAGTTTACAGGGAGGTGGTAGCCGATACAGTTTACAGGGAGGTGGTAGCGGATACAGTTTACAGGGAGGTGGTAGCGGATACAGTTTACAGGGAGGTGGTAGCGGATACAGTTTACAGGGAGGTGGTAACGGATTCAGTTTACAGGGAGGTGGTAGCGGATACAATGTACAGGGAGGTGGTAGCCGATACAGTTTACAGGGAGGTTGTAGCGGATTCAGTTTACAGGGAGGTGGTAGCGGATACAGTTTACAGGGAGGTGGTAGCCGATACAGTTTACAGGGAGGTGGTAGCCGATACAGTTTACAGGGAGGTGGTAGAGGATACAGTTTACAGGGAGGTGGTAGCGGATACAGTTTACAGGGAGGTGGTAGCGGATACAGTTTACAGGGAGGCGGTAGCCGATACAGTTTACAGGGAGGTGGTAGCGGATACAGTTTACAGGGAGGTGGAAGCGGATACAGTTTACAGGGACGTGGTAGCGGATACAGTTTACAGGGAGGTGGTAGCGGATACAGTTTACAGGGAGGTGGTAGCGGATACAGTTTACAGGGAGGTGGTAGAGGATACAGTTTACAGGGAGGTGGTAGCGGATACAGTTTACAGGGAGGTGGTAGCCGATACAGTTTACAGGGAGGTGGTAGCCGATACAGTTTACAGGGAGGTGGTAGCGGATACAGTTTACAGGGAGGTGGTAGCCGATACAGTTTACAGGGAGGTGGTAGCGGATACAGTTTACAGGGAGGTGGTAGCCGATACAGTTTACAGGGACGTGGTAGACGACACAGTTTACAGGGAGGTGGCAGCGGATACAGTTTACAGGGACGTGGTAGCCGACACAGTTTACAGGGAGGTGGCAGACGATACAGTTTACAGGGAGGTGGTAGCCGATACAATCCGTTATTAGTCACTGGTGTTTTTGGGGAATTCTTACTTCGAAAGTCTATTACTATTACTAGTTTTCTGCACAGTGATAATTAATAAGCTGTCTTTCCAATGTCTTGCTTATTGGTGTTTTCATTGAAAAGTAGTCTGCGGCATCATAAGCAACCCTCACTCTTGAGGACATATTTGCCACTGTTTGAGTTTAATTCACTGTAGTGTTTGTCTGTATTTCTATCAACCTGTATGTTTAATGGGCCGGTGTTGTGTGGGTAATCTTAAAAACACTATACACCTGGATATATGACAAAGGCACAGTCGTTTTTAGTGGGATTTCATATTTTAGAATTTCAATTGTAATTCTGAAGCTCATTCGTATAACTTAATTTAATGTGTCAAATGAAACAACCTGCTTAACTGACAATGTTAACTACATCCACTTCATTCATAGAGGAAGAGGAACACAGAGGTGTGAAATAGATCAACATACAAATCAGTCAAATTTTAATGATACATTATGATCAATATCTTTACCTTATTGAATTCTACACATATTGTACCTGCTACAAGCAATCATTTTCAGTCAAGATGATCATATGTTGATACATAAATATTTCGTCTCCAAAGGTCACTGTAAATGGTTTTCACGACATGTTGGAATTGCACATGGTCATCAACAGTAGATATGCATTGTCCTAGAGATGTATTCGAACAGAACCGATTTGGGATAAGAATTCAAGACCAGTGGATCAAAGATGAAAACTTGGCCTTGCAATGTAAATTTTGTTTAACGTCACACGCTAGTCTGTAGGGTGGGTGATTGAACTGTACAACCCAGACTTAGCCCCCAGTGACTATTTCCTGTTCCGGCAAATGAAGACGCTTCGAGGATGCCGAGGACATAAAGGCTGCCACAGAGGCGTGGTTAGAGGGCCAATCTGCGGATTTCTATAAAAGTGGTATTAAAAGCTTGAAGGACAAATGGAATAAGTGTATTGAGGTGAATGGAGATTATATTGAAAAATAAAACCGCAAAAGATATTCTACGACTTGGTCTTATATTGAAGCGGGGGCACGGGTGGCCCAGTCGTCTAAAGGCGCCGCGATTCGCTGTGCAGAGTTGCGTCCCTTGGGCACGCCAGAAACCTATGATTGTGGGTTCGAATCCCGGTTCGCCCTGATCATGTTTCTAGGTTTGTCAGCACCATACCCGTGCTCGTGGGTTTCACCGAAGTGGTAAACGTCGGAGACCTGCATCACTTCGGGCTTTCCTCCCACATTAAGCTGACACGCCGTGATATAACTGGATTACTGTTAAAAGCGGCGTTAAACCAAACTCACTCACTCACTCATTATATTGCAGCTGCAAAACGTATTGAACGCCCCTCGTAGCTGTTTTCAAGCTCCATGGTGGCGTGTACATACATGGAATCAAATCTTTAATTTGAGCGGTGTCCCAATCCATGGAGGTATGACACACGGTGTACCACGTCACTGAGTCTGATCACGAGATGCATTTAGTCGAGGCTTACAAGACGCGTTGGTGTCACTGCCCGGGAACACAACACCTGTCCAAAAAAGAACACAAGACCAAATACACGTACTATACTACAACATATTCAGTTTTATCTCTTAAATATCGGTTGAGTGTGAACGGATAATACCACGTATAATCTTGATCCCACCTGGCAGGTCCCAGTGCCAACATAGAGACGTGTAACATTGTATCTTATTTGTGTAAGTCAAAAGGACAACGACATTTCCACAAAAACAACACTGTTTTCTTATCTGATAATCACGGTGCATTAGCCTCTCGCTCATTCAAAATACATAATTTGAGGTAATAGAATTGGTTATATCAAGTATGTTACATTACGAATGTTGAATGTCCCTTCATTTCAGCAGTGTTGCTCTTGCTGTGTAGAAACTCCTGAATGAATATAGCACACGTGTGTCGTGTAAATACATATCAGGGTATTTGCATTTCTTGCTAAATAATAGGTTGATCTTATCTCAGGATCGGACAAAGCCTTATAGTCAAAATGTGAACATCCTTGGGTCATACGATGAGGTCAACATGCTGGACATAAAGTACATCCGATATAAAATGTTATTTCACTCGACTAAAATATCGACCGATTTTATATCGCTTGATAGAGATTATAATGTTATTAACAGATAAGAAATTTCATGTAAAGAATAAATATTTATATCTATATTTATCATCGATATTTTCCTAGATGAGCGAGAAAATAAAACATAATACGAAGAACATTCTCTGGATTTTTCGATGAATCAAATATCATTGTTGATGTAGAACAAATATCATTTTTGGAGTAATTTATGATTACGTCATTGCTATCATCATCCATTCGTGTATTACGTCTATGCTGTTCTCACCAGTTATAAATTGTCTTTTATCAGTCTAAAGTAAGCATGAATATGTCAATTTGTAATAACTTTGGAACGTACAAGTTGCTTTTGTCATCATATCCATGTTATTTTTACTTCTACTTTAAGGCGTAAGACAAACGTGATCTTATTGTAACATTAAGAAGCACTTGCGGCCTTTGAATGATCCAGTGTCTAACGAGCATGTGTGTCGTATTCTGTACACAAAATATGTTACTGTGTGCCTTTAACTTCCTTAAACACCATACCATTGGACACGTAATGGGATTTACCCCGATCAAATTACGGGGTGCAAATATATTTCCTGTAGAGTTATCAGTATCTATTTGATACTTAGCATGTACATCAACCAGTTTGTATAGCACAAGCTGCTGTTTGACATCATATCCACATTATTCTTACTTCTACTTTAAGGACTATTTAGCTTAAGACAAAAGTGATTTCATCATTACACGTAGAAGCACGTGACCAGAATGAGTGTTGAATTATCCAAATACCTCATACAAGACATCACAGTGTGCCTATAACTAACATAAACACCACAGCATTGGACAACGAGGAGAAATATATTTCCTGGTTACATGGTGTAACACTATTTGACATGGGCATTTCGTGAGCCCTAACAACTGCACTGAATAGTCGTGCAACTGCACTGTATAATTGACCAACTCAGCCGAATAATAATTGGTCAGCTGACGTACGTATATAAGCAGACAAATTGCTGACATAACAAATGTCAAGTACTTATATAAACAGCAGAATTGCTGACATAGCGACTGTCAAGTAAATCAGAACTGACTAGCTCAGCAGAATGATGATCGGTCCGCTGCCTTCGAAAACAGGCAGGTTATGTTAACAAGGGAGAACCGGCAAACCATCGGAGGAGCGCAGTCGCAGTAGTAGAGAGGAAAACTAGGGACAAGGAGAGACGAGCACTGACCAGCCAGTCCAGCCCTCAGCTGCCCAAGTGTCAACGTGACTTCGTCGTCTTCCTATGTTCGACTCTTTAACTATTGATCGTCCGGTTCGGTAGTTCTACTGTGTTAACAAAGAAACCATTCTTTGCCACCACAACGGCTTGTCGTTCTTAGTGCATGGAGGTGTTACAATGAGAATCTGAACTATTTTCATGTTCTGTTGACCCGATTATTTGCATATTATCAACCCAACATATACACACGCGCTGGGAAAGGTACCATATATAATAACATCAATGCCATGTTCGAATAAACTATATAAAAAATAATTCATATACATTAAAAAACCCACTAACAACTGGTTCAACAAGTTTTTTTTTATACAATTCGTAAAATTAAACGACAAATCCTCTTCCTCAATCATAAGAGTCCAGAAAGGTTTCATCAGCCCCAATTGAGACATGTCTAATGTAAAAATATTCGTTTTTTTCCGTTAGTTTGTAAAGAATGGACAAATAAATACGTGGTCATACTGATCCTCGAAGTCGTGGCCACATGAACAGGGCGCTTCAGGATGCATAATGTCTGAGGGGGTTGGGTTGGGGGGGTTTGGTTGGGGTGGGTGGGTGGCAGCCCGCACACCCCACGTCACCAACCACATACGCCTTCTTTAAATCTATAAGTTTATACACAAACATACCAGAAGATCTGAGCCTAGGCCAAAATCACCCCAAGGTTATATGAACCTAAGCTCAGATCATTCCACCAAGGGTGGAGGAGTTGGGGCAAGTACACCGGTGTGGACACAACACATTCCTTTACGGATTCCGGGTCAGAATTGGTCATCGGCACACCATGCTTGTAGGTAGAACCGGCTTAACTGGGGAATGGGTTTGTTTACTTGCTATTGTTTGGCCGTAGGTGTAGATCAAAAATCGTCGTGAGATGGCGGACTGAGTGAGTCGGGTTTAACGCCTCCATGAACAGTAAGTTATACCACTGCCTGTCAGTGATAAGCTTCAGTGTCCGAGGAAAGTCAGACGTGATGCTTGCCACTTTGGTGAAACATGTGAGCGTGAGTTTGATGCTGACAATTCAGAAACATAATCAGAGCGAATCTGGGATTCGAATATATAAAAGCGACAAAACCCTTTCCATATTCTTAAGAAATCTCTGCCGAAAACAGCATTGAATGTACCATTCCGACTATATCATGAGCTGTTTATAATCGCTATGAAACAGTGGTGATACAAAGTGTTCGCGAAAAGGTGAGCGTATCCAATAGAAATCTCTTCATAAAGCAGAGTCGATTAATTATTCCGACTATATCATGAGCATGTGTTTATGAATCTCTATCAAATAGTAATGATACTAGGTGTTCGCGAAAAGGTGATCGTATCCTGCCCCACCTGTGGCACCTGTCACAAACACATGCAAAGGCAAGTCAATTGTTCACCTGAAAAAAAACCCGGGAACATATGGTACAAGTCCAAAAAGGGAATTGCATCGGACATCATTTCTGTCACACATGCCTCAAATTTGAACACGTCCTCAACATGGCTACCATAAAAAGAAATTCTGGCGGAAATTCTGTGAGGTACATCCTGGGCCCTGGCACATGCAGTCCTTGCAAATGATGTAGAGGCAGATCATATGACTGTCCTCTATAAAGACTGCATGTGTTAGGAACCCAGCACACACCATGCCGGACCACAAAGCCATGTAACATGTCATTTTGTTATAATTACAGGTATGTTGAATGAGTTGCGTGAGTGCTCTTTTTAATCTTTTTTTTATATCTAAATTGAAATAGGTTAATTCTTCATGTGTGAATTATATTAGTCCAGATAACTGTTTAATTATTGAAATGAATATCAATAATATAGTAGATGACTGTTTCATTATTGAAATGAATATCAATAATATAGTAGATAACTGTTTTATTATTGAAATAAATATCAATAATATAGTAGTTAAAAACAACTACATGATCAGTGTGAGGACACACCATGCCGGACCACCAAGCCATGGAACATGTCATTTTGTTATAATTACAGGACTCTTCATCATAAATAAAACATCAGCCCAGAGCACGAACTTTGCTGTTCCTGTGACATGTACATGTCCCAGGTGTCCTATTCATTCTTCTTTTTCTTCGTGACATGGACACCAGAACTCCGAATGCACACGTACTACCCCCACGCACTTTCAAATGTACCCAAAGCTGACAAGAGGGGTGCGTGCACTGGGCCCAGGCCACAAACACATTAGATGCACATCCTCGGAGTTCCTTGGGTTGTTCCCCGTAATTGCCTTGCCCCCATCGATTACACTGATCACTTTCCTTTTCTTTGTCGGCTGTGATTTCTTCATTAGAACATTATTCCTCGGAGTTCCTTGGGTTGTTCCCCGTAATTGCCTTGCCCCCATCGATTGCACTGATCACTTTCCTTTTCTTTGTCGGCTGTGATTTCTTCATTAGAACATTATTCCTCGGAGTTCCTTGGGTCGTTCCCCGTAATTGCCTTGCCCCCATCGATTGCACTGATGACTTTCCTTTTCTTTGTCGGCTGTGATTTCTTCATTAGAACATTATTCCTCGGAGTTCCTTGGGTCGTTCCCCGTAATTGCCTTGCCCCCATCGATTGCACTGATGACTTTCCTTTTCTTTGTCGGCTGTGATTTCTTCATTAGAACATTATTCCTCGGAGGTCCTTGGGTCGTTCCCCGTAATTGCCTTGCCCCCATCGATTGCACTGATCACTTTCCTTTTCTTTGTCGGCTGTGATTTCTTCATTAGAACATTATTCCTCGGAGTTCCTTGGGTCGTTCCCCGTAATTGCCTTGCCCCCATCGATTGCACTGATGACTTTCCTTTTCTTTGTCGGCTGTGATTTCTTCATTAGAACATTATTCCTCGGAGTTCCTTGGGTTGTTCCCCGTAATTGCCTTGCCGCCATCGATTGCACTGATGACTTTCCTTTTCTTTTTCGGCTGTGATTTCTTCATTAGAACATTATTCCTCGGAGGTCCTTGGGTCGTTCCCCGTAATTGCCTTGCCCCCATCGATTGCACTGATGACTTTCCTTTTCTTTGTCGGCTGTGATTTCTTCATTAGAACATTATTCCTCGGAGTTCCTTGGGTTGTTCCCCGTAATTGCCTTGCCCCCATCGATTGCACTGATGACTTTCCTTTTCTTTTTCGGCTGTGATTTCTTCATTAGAACATTATTCCTCGGAGTTCCTTGGGTCGTTCCCCGTAATTGCCTTGCCCCCATCGATTGCACTGATGACTTTCCTTTTCTTTGTCGGCTGTGATTTCTTCATTAGAACATTATTCCTCGGAGGTCCTTGGGTTGTTCCCCGTAATTGCCTTGCCCCCATCGATTACACTGATCACTTTCCTTTTCTTTGTCGGCTGTGATTTCTTCATTAGAACATTATTCCTCGGAGTTCCTTGGGTCGTTCCCCGTAATTGCCTTGCCCCCATCGATTGCACTGATCACTTTCCTTTTCTTTGTCCGCTGTGATTTCTTCATTAGAACATTATTCCTCGGAGTTCCTTGGGTCGTTCCCCGTAATTGCCTTGCCCCCATCGATTGCACTGATGACTTTCCTTTTCTTTTTCGGCTGTGATTTCTTCATTAGAACATTATTCCTCGGAGTTCCTTGGGTCGTTCCCCGTAATTGCCTTGCCCCCATCGATTGCACTGATGACTTTCCTTTTCTTTGTCGGCTGTGATTTCTTCATTAGAACATTATTCCTCGGAGGTCCTTGGGTCGTTCCCCGTAATTGCCTTGCCCCCATCGATTGCACTGATGACTTTCCTTTTCTTTGTCGGCTGTGATTTCTTCATTAGAACATTATTCCTCGGAGTTCCTTGGGTTGTTCCCCGTAATTGCCTTGCCGCCATCGATTGCACTGATGACTTTCCTTTTCTTTGTCGGCTGTGATTTCTTCATTAGAACATTATTCCTCGGAGGTCCTTGGGTCGTTCCCCGTAATTGCCTTGCCCCCATCGATTGCACTGATGACTTTCCTTTTCTTTTTCGGCTGTGATTTCTTCATTAGAACATTATTCCTCGGAGTTCCTTGGGTTGTTCCCCGTAATTGCCTTGCCCCCATCGATTGCACTGATGACTTTCCTTTTCTTTTTCGGCTGTGATTTCTTCATTAGAACATTATTCCTCGGAGTTCCTTGGGTCGTTCCCCGTAATTGCCTTGCCCCCATCGATTGCACTGATCACTTTCCTTTTCTTTGTCGGCTGTGATTTCTTCATTAGAACATTATTCCTCGGAGTTCCTTGGGTTGTTCTCCGTAATTGCCTTGCCCCCATCGATTGCACTGATCACTTTCCTTTTCTTTGTCGGCTGTGATTTCTTCATTAGAACATTATTCCTCGGAGGTCCTTGGGTCGTTCCCCGTAATTGCCTTGCCCCCATCGATTGCACTGATGACTTTCCTTTTCTTTGTCGGCTGTGATTTCTTCATTAGAACATTATGTTGTCTACTGAAAATGCCATACTGTGTTCCTGCATAACTGAATGTTCTGTACAGTCCTGCTGCCCTTCTTCTACCTCCATCTCGGCTCTTAAAAATTGACGATTGCTCCTCTTGAAAAACAGCTGGAGGGGCAAAGTTAATTCGGGTCATAGCAGCCAGCGTGTCAAAAGGATAAATGCCAGAGGCGGGGTGATTCGCTGGAGTCAATGATAATGAACAGGCTTGACGGGCGAAATGACACACTGAATCTCTGCTTACAGAGCCTGTAGCATCGTCTCGCATGAACTTGTGTTTAAGGTTGTTGTAAACCCTGCAAAAACGGACCGAAAATTCCGCACCAGGTTGCAAGACGTGGGATGTATGTGCTGGCAAAATAAACAGAATGATGTTATGTTCACGGGCTGAGTTTAACAATGGAAGAGATACATGGGGCTTATGTCCATCATAAAGAATGAGAGTGGGACGGTCAGTAGACGCGGCGACAGCGTGTTTCAGATAGTGGTGCTCCGAGCAAAAGCGAAAAACTTCGGAATTCGACCATCCGGCATCAGAAACTGTTCATGTCGGTCCAGGTGAGGAGAAAGATAGTGCAGCCTTCATCACCGACATTCCATGAAGTACCGATTAATAAGCCATATCTCAGGTCTCCGAAGAAGATTGGCGGTATTTCCCTTGGTCAGTCGGTTGACCATTCGTCAATATCTGTAAAATAAACTTACATTTAGGATTTCTTTTTAAATCACGCATTTCTAATGTCACAAAAATAAGAAATGGCCCAGCCAACTTTTGACATGAAAAAAATTGCGAGCGGCATCTCGTGACTTTTTTTTATTGTGTTAACATGCAGACTAAAGGTTCCATTGGAAAAAATACATTTTTTCAGGATAGTGAGTGAGTGAGTGTGGTTTTACGCCGTTTTAAGCAATATTCCAGCGATATCACGGCGGGGGTCACCAGAAATGGGCTTCACACATTGTACCCATGTCGGGAATCGAACCCGGGTCTTCGCTTTAAACACTAGGCTACCCGACCGCCCCTTTTTTTTCAGGATAGAAATTTGGGCATAAGTGTATACACGTGTAAATGGTTATCTCTACCATGCTTGTATCTGCTTACATACATCACTCCATATTGTCAGTCTTAGCTATAAAAGAAGTTCTCTCGGTTGTCACTGAATAGGTTTTCAGCAAACCATGCTTGCCGTAAAAGGCGACTATGCTTGAATAAAGTAATGTAATATATGATATCAAAGTGTTCATTTTGTATTAAGTTTATTAAAGTATAGATTGTGTAGGCTTTCCGAAGATATTAACCATCATATTTAAGTCTAACATCTCCATGTCAACTGTTCAACTTTTATGTTTTATCATTAGTTAAGATAGATTAAATGTAGTTGCTGTGTCCTTCATGTTGTAAGCCTTAACAAACCCAAGCCATGACGCGCTCAACTGATTGGCCAAGCTAACCCTCAAAGTTGACCCTTTGTCTCACTGCATGTTCTCAGTCTGCACACATTTCTTACAGACATGTTAACAAGTGAAATCATCTAAAATCAGGTTAGTTTAATATGTTTGTGCATATTTGTATTGTGTGTTATAATTGCAGTTAAATGTTGCAGTATATTAAACCTATAATACTAAACTTAACTAAACGTGTTTAATATTATCATATTTTCATTTACAATCTATTTAAGTAAATGTGGTAAACGAGACTTATAAATTGTAAGCTTTGGTAATTACTAATATATCACTTTTTTGTCTCTTTATTCTTGTATGTATGAGGAAGAGTATGTGTTGTTTTATGTGTAATAGGCGCCCTCTGGCGGGCTGCCCAGTGACAGGATTGTAATCGGAGAGTACTAAGTTCGAACCCTGTTCATATAATTTCGGACTTTGCGTTGTGTTCTACTGTGATCAGTCATGAACAGTGTACTCTCTCGAGGTTCTATGGTTGGTCAGGTTCTCAACTTTGCTAAAACAAAACTAAGACAAAATCATAAATTAAATGATTTATTAAACTTAACAAAATGTACAAATTAACAGTAAATCAGAAAAATACAAAAAGAAAGCACTCACACACAGTTAAACTTTTACTATTAGCCTAAATGTCTTTATCGTTAACTGCCTAATTTACTGCCTATTTTCTCCTACACCCCCACACAACTATTCCAATAACTATACTAAATAAATACCTTACAAAACCTACATTTTAACTTATTTCTTACTCTCCAATCTATCTAAATCCTTATTTCTACATGTTTTTCCTACAACTACTTTTCCCCCACCCGACTACCACATAAACTAAACCTACACCTAAAACTAGTCGTAAAGAAAACCTTATTGCCTAGAGGGATGTTCCCCCGTAGTGGGTGTTGTGGACTTACTTGTCGGGATACCCGAAACTTCAGACGACTAATCCCGGTCGTATCAGGCTTTTATACTCACGGAGCTAACCATATTCATAGGTCACGGGTCATACAATCTTCTAAGCTTCTCATTGGTCAAATGATAATTCCTAACAAAGCGTGCTCGGCGACACCTATAGAACCGGAAACACGCTACGGCAGGAAGACATGCGGACCTCGCAACCGTTACAGGGAATTCCAATGGAATTTTACTGCCAAACGTGAGTAATAAATAGATTAATTGACTACAAGATAACGACTTCCACCAGCCCTGCTGAAGCACTACAAAGCCCTATAATTTACAACCCTTACCGTACATGAAAATTAAACTTGCCGCCATACTACCCGATAAATTACGATCTATTTTTAGCCCAACTACCACATATGGAATAGGCTATGTTTTAAATGCTTTTGTGATCAGTTCTGTATAATATACAGTCTGTACTATACGGGATCCGGAGAAATATTTTAACGTGTATGTAAATAGTTGTATTAGTCATTGTTATCAAAGTATATGTTTTAATAAGATATTCGGAATTTATAAGTTGCGGCGCTAGTCGGGAAGACACCTCAGTTTCACCCACAGGGTAGGCACATAATAACTTGTATAGTGAGTTTCTATATTTGTGTAACACATACGTGTGTCACACCCATAAAGTCATATATATAGACCGGCAGCCCGGAGCACTTTGGTCAAACGAACAAGGTACCAATATCCGAACACAGGAACATTTACTGTGTAACCCAACATATTTATATATGGATGTCTGGATATGGATGGATATAATATATTAAATTATTCTATTTGGTCCTTACATCAGTTAGCAGATTGCTGTACAGTATAACAACTTATATATGAATAAGATGTGTTTGTAATGTAAAACGGTTTGTAATACTGTGATGTTGATGACTGCATTATGTATATTGTTAATATTACTTATCATTCCTTTAATATGTTTCAGGGTGTAGATACTAAACTAGTGTCCAAAAGAAACGATACCAACTTATTTTCAAATCTGTTTTTTACTCAGTGAATTGTCAAGTATGAAAACATGCCAATTCGTATTGCACATCCCAAACACAGCATAGTCGATAAAAAATACCGGGAACACGTGATCACTTCCGCGAAAAAACGTAAATTTCGTGAAAGTGACATTTCCCTCTCTAGCATGTTCTGCACGTGCAGAAAAACTGTATAAAATGGCTGATCAGACACGTTGATATCACAGCAACAAAAAGAACACAAGATATGACACGTTTGACAGCCATCGAGAGAGAGAGAGAGCCGTTTGAATGGTCCAACAAGGAGCGTCACACGTCGACGTCGCCAGAAGGTTGGGCTGCGCACGCATCACTATCACCAGGTTGATGCAGCGGTTACGTCAGACAGGTCAGACGTCAGACAGGCCCAGGAGTGGAAGACCACGAGTAACCACGCCCCGTGAAGATCGTTACATCCGGGTATTACACCTGAGGAACCGCACCGTAACAGCGACGTCCACGGCGGCTACAACACTAGGACACAGGATCAGTCGACAAACCGTCTACAGGAGACTACGGCAGTATGGTATCCGGCCACGTCATCCCTACCGCGGACCGCTCCTGACGCCTCGACACCGGAACAACAGACTGATCTGGGCCAGGCGGGACTGGGCACGTGTTATGTTCTCTGATGAGAGCAGATTCCTCATCTTCAGAAACGATGGACGGCAGCTTGTATACCGACGATTTGGTGAACGTTTGGCGCCTAACTGTATCCAACAGGTCCGGCCGTTTGGAGGTGGAGGGTTAATGGTTTGGGGTGGCATATGTGGTGACGTCAAAACGATGCTTGTCGTAATTCGTGGAAACCTGAATTCACAGCGTTATCTTGATGACATCCTACGGCCTGTTGTGGTGCCCTTTATTCAGCAACAGCCTCGTGAACTCCTTTTCCAACATGACAATGCAAGGCCACACACAGCAAGATTGACACAGAACTTCCTTGCCAACGCCAACGTACAGGTTTTGCCATGGCCCGAATGTTCACCGGACATGAATCCCATCGAGCACTTATGGGACCACATCGATCGGCAAATCCGACGTCGCCGTGTGCCTCCAGTCAACGTCCAGGACTTGGAACGATGTCTCCTCGAGGAATGGCAACGCATCACTTCCAACGTCATCAGACGTTTGACGTCATCAGTCCGTAGGCGTGTTCTGGCATGTATTGATGCTCAGGGTGGACATACCCGCTACTGACTTGACTTTGAGACGTGTGGTGTGACATTTCCCGTTGTTTCTGTGATCAGTGCTCTAACGAAATGTTCATTTTTCGACCCCACCCATCTTTAAAGGCTTGTCATATTGGTTGTACAGATTTTATTGAAATGAAATTTTTGTACAGATGTTGTGAAAGGATTTCTCAAAAGCATAACACCAATCCTAAACTTCTGCACTGTTTAGTTTTTCTTTTATGTCGTTGCAAACAGGTGGTATCGTTTCTTTTGGACACTAGTTTAGATAGATATATAAATGACAAATCCATTGGCGGAATAAACGTCTCTCACCCGTAGCGTGTGTTTGCCTATCGTTCATTCACTGCCCTGCTACACTTATATGATAAATATTTAAAAGACATTGCCAAGTCTGTGCGTATTTAGCTACAGAAACAGTGTTACTTTCACAAGGAAAAATTCCAATATATACAAAATATACAATTTGTATATATGGTATATCCAAAAATATACAATTTTGTATATATGGTATATCCAAAAATAGAGAGCAATGTCCTATCGATGCCAACCACCTTCAATAAACTATTGCTGACTTCTTGAACAGAGCCTGTGCCACTGTATAGGATACCAAGACCCTGATTAACTCCATGCAGACGCCAATCTAAATGTGTTGAAATAGCAATTTCACCATACATATGATCATATGCCCGCTGATTGTATTGACAATTTGATGGATTCCATCCTGTGGTAATCTGCAAGGATACGTCTAATCTGCGTATAATTTAATAAGGATTTTTTAACCGATTCAACATATTGTTGATGTGAAAATCGTCATTATCAATAAATAGGACAAACTGAATAGGTTATTACAGACAGGTGTTCAAAAGTCAAAATGGTCATGGATACTCGTTATATGTTTTATGTCATGTTCATGTCATCATTTATTTCAATTAGGCAGGCACATTCTTGGTATTAATAATCGTGTATATGCTCATACAGTTTTTATTTTCACATTGTCAATTAAAATTGAAGGAACATTATCACGGCCCCAAACGCGAACGTTCACTTCTTCCTCAAGTCTGTAGACACATTCTGGTTCCACTAGACGGTTACTGTAAAATAACTTGGTTTATCAGGGTTGTGTTATGTACTCCAAGTTGTGGGGAAAACTGATGAAACATATGGCTGACATAATGAAAGCTTGCTGATCCTTTGTTTCTCGTTGTACTAATGACTATGATTCACTGATTGTGGCCAAATGGTAACAGCAGCCTCTGTCCCGCTCAGAGACAAACATCAACACATGGAGGTCAGGAAGTTATGTAACCGTCAAGGCAATGAGAGACATGTGGTGGAAGGAATAGCCTTGCTGTGGACTTATTGACCTCATGATCAGTCTGACCAGAATAATTGGAGCGCCATTTTATCTCATTTTGCTGTTAACATTCTGTTTAAATATGTTTATCCTATGAAGTAAGACGACTACGTCACTATAATTTACAAGCTTCGGGTAATCGGGCCACAATAGATAGATCTCATGTGTTAACAATGAAGACCATACACAAGGAGACAGTCCTTGGTTAAAGAATAACACCCGCTGCAAACACTTTGACGTGCAACTTGTGTGCAGATGTTTCTACCAATACATATTCGTGTAACACGCATTTAAGAAACAAAATCATATCTGGAAGATTATTTCGGTATGAACTGCATGTCACCATGATACATGTCAACGAACAATCGTCAAGTTATATGTGTGCATAAAGTTAAACTGAAGCAATTTGAAATAATACCACAAGTAGTATAGGTAATGGGGGTTCTGCCGCAACTCCACTGGAGCCAGATTTATATACCTATACCACCACTACAGGGGGATTTTTTTATGTGTAAACGCTGATGCTATTCAACGATCATCATGAGATTAAGCTAAACTGACTCTAGCTCACCACCACCTGGAGTCAATAAATGCTTCTATGATATAAATTTATTATAGGTAATGGTGATTCTGCTGAAACTCCACTACTGGAGCCGGATTTATATACCTATACTGCTACTACAGATGGAATTTTTAATGCAAAAATGATGATGCGATTCAACGATAGTCATGAGATTAAACTAAATTGTAATGAAAATATTCTCTATTATTTTTACTAATACGTATACCATTATTTTTAACAAAGTGATATTCAACATTTTTACTAAGTTCTTCGTTCATTTTACTAGGAGACCAGACTATATACTCTTCTTGGAAATGGGAAAGAAACAATTGATGACCGTATTTGGTTGGTTTGACATCACTGATATAATATATACCTTGTGGTAATTCTCTCCATTTGATGATTTGTCCCTGAGCATAAATGTTTCGAGTTCTTCCTTTGTTGGTTTGTAATTCTCCATTATTATATACATATGTAATAGGCCGTGGGCTAGGTATGACCCACGAGCACCCCCCACACATCCAAACCCCACTTAATTTTTTTAAAGCCCATAAACATACTAAACATGATTTTGAATGTTAACAAGAAAAAAGTTGGGACGAACTTGTTATTACAGCCTTTCATAGTATGGTACCCTATATCGCGTTTTCGCCCGGTTTTGCCGTATATCACTTTGGGGTATGATTACGTTTTGGGTTGTCATCTCACTAGTGATCCACTGATCGTCAAGTGTGATATACCACTGGAATCCATATATAAATACCTCTCCAATGAGGTATCAATAATTGGTATTGAGCGAATATGGACCAACCCATGGTAAATCGAACGTCATACATCCCGACGAAACTAAATTCTTCTCGCAGAAACCTTTAATCCGGTATATGTTCTAGGTACGTGTGCCTGATTCCACTATAGTCTTCTAACACATGTTCCAGTACATCTCTTGAAGTACTTACTTAACATGTGATGTTACCAGGTGAAAATCTTTTGCACAATTTGGAACAAATTTACTCTTATAATGTCAGAGTAGGATACCTAATATTGCATTCTCGGCTTAGCTACATCGGA